AGAAACCTAGCAGTGCTAAGTAGTCAAAACAAGTTGATCCTTGCCTGGATGCCAGGTCAGGAGAGATATTAGGACAACTAAAGGGGCAACCAACTAGCTCAAGAAGGCTCAGATAAGGCCATGACAGGCCCCGAACCCTTCTGTGGAGTTGCTAAGGCATTGTGCAAGGCATCCAACAAACAATGGATGCAAAAAGATTCTCAGGAATGGTGGAACAACTATTTAAGACTGAGACAAGCCAAACAGTTCATCAAAGAAAGACTAAGTTCACGAAAGATTTACTGGATTAAAAACTTCAAATCGATAACAGCATGTCTTTTTACTGGACACTGCCGCCTAAAAAGGCACACAAGTGTCATCAATCCAGCAGAAGAAGCAACTTTATGCACGTTATGTGAAGAAGAAGAAGAAGTGGAAACATCAAACCACGTCCTGTGCCAGTATAAATGCCTTGCTAGATTGAGGTTTCTAATATTAGACGAAGAAAAGCCAAACGCTTGGAATTTCACGCGGGAACAACTGTCAAAAGCTGAAAAAGTCGCGACCAGGACGAATAATGTCCAACTCCTTTTATATATAGAAAATCCATCTAGTGAAAAAACCAAACAAGCCTGGTATTTAAATTAATTAATGGCTATAAATTAAAATAAATATATTTGCTAAAAGCCTTTTATTAGCAGAATAGTGACTGAATATTTAAGCATGTAAAACAGCTTGTTAAAATAAAAAGTCGATAAACATTGCGATTTGCGTATTATGTCGTTAAATTCGCCCTTGTCTATTATTAAACCGGTAAACATCAAATTGCTGGTCAAACTATATTGCTTAAATTACAAATCATCAATTTCAATCAACAAAATTGGGTGTACGCCCTCTTTTGTACACAAAGGTGAACCATAATTATCGGTAAAAAGCCTACAATTAAATTATACAATGTGCCCAACGAATACTAAATATGCTACTTTTGAGGGTGTATCTTTATTTAAAAAAATAAAATAAAATAAAACATAGTATCTAATAATTATCAGATTATCAAACTATAAAATTAAAGTTCTAGTCCGAGGACATAAGTGGATATAAACATGAATTGAAAAATTATTAAAGTAGGTCTAAATTTTATTACCTACTTGTTTCTAAAATTAGATAATATAATATTTCTTGACTGCAGCCTTATTTTAAATGTTGCTCTCTTAGATTCATTATTCTCATTGATCAAGGGGTAGCAAAGAATAAACTCATTGAGACACAATTTTTCCTTCTATAATGTACAATGTGCTTTGGATATTGTTAAGCTCTGGCTGTATCATGTCGCTCCCCAGGCGTTAGCAACGCTCCTGCTACATAAATAGCTAGTTTAGCTTATCGCCACGGTAAATAATAATAATAATAATAGGGAGAATGCTATTATTATAACACCATTATGATTTTATCATGGATCATGGATGAACCTGTAAACATAAAAAAACCAAAACACCTGTCAGAAAGACACAAGTTTTCTCTTAATTAATGGTAGTATTAATAAATGAATCAAATAATTTAACAATTATTATTCTTAGACTTTCTTTATTCAAAGTATGTACACAAAATTCCAATCATTCCCTTGAATGTTCATCACATTCATCACACATCGAATTAAGTAAATTAACTAAGCGAAATCGTAGAAGTCAATTTAATTGATATTGTAGCACCTTTACAGGTATTTTAATTAATATTTGTGAAAATGGTACAATAAATGAATACATACCAGGTATAAACTCTCGAGGGGATTATATAAACGTTGGTGCTGAAACCTGAAACAAAAACTGTGGTAAACATGTGCGTTTGAAAAGGGGTCTCTTTAAATATTCATGTTCAATGTGTTTCGAAAAACGATGCTGATTTAATCACAATGGATGGATAGGGGTGACGGAATGGAGAAATATAATACGACCACAAAAAAGTACACCAATGCTTTTTATATGTGAAAAAGTGTGTAGTATGCCACATACAAGTAACTTTGCTTTACTTCGTGGTATTCATCTTATTAATTGTATACCTTTTCGTTATTTTCATTTGAATTTAGTTCGATTTAAAAATTTGTTTGCCTATGAAATTGACAACATTTTCACATGGAAAAAACAGTGCCAAATAAATTAGTTATTAGTGCAATTAGGAAAGAAAAATCAACTTATTTAAATTATCGTGCATGCAAAACAAAAAAGACCTTTAGAAAGCAATGCAATCCTTGAATATTTCAAATAAAACTACAGTCTACATTTTTAACCCATTTCACACACTCAAATTTTTGTAGACAAAAACATACCAACCACGAAGTAATAAATCGTCTCATCTTTATGGGAATTAGTTGCACCCAAAAACCTATATTACTGCACCGTATACCTATTTTAACATTTAATAATTGTTGATACAAGCTTGGCAACGTTCTAGATTTTAAGTGCGGTTTAATATTAATATTTAATTCACCTCAAACGACCTCACGAGAACTTTCTAGGAAGCAGATATTCTGAATTAAATTTTAACGAAAATGCACCTAAATGCGTTTCGTGGAAACAGGATGAAAGGTTTTACCGTGTTATTTCCTACCAATTTCCTGAACTTGATGGTGGCAAAAACTGTTGACTTTGTCGGTCGTAAACTGTTCCTGGATTAGTTAAGAAGCTTTTATATATCGTGTGCAGATTGTCAAGTCGTGGCTTGTATTATTTTCTAATACAAGATACTTTACAACTGACCGGTAATTTTTTTACAAAGGGCTCTGCTCTAATTACAAGAGTTACTTTACTGCATGTCGCTTAAATTCTTTTATGTTCATATTTGGACAGGTCAGTTGAATCTTAATGCGGTTTGTATTTTTAAAGTAAATCAAAGTTATCCGAAGGATATTTTGAATATTTATTGTAGTGTTAACATTTTAATTTTTAAGACAATTGGTTTCTAATTTTCCTTAGAAAAGGGTATTTGATTGATGAAGGTAGAGTGTGTTTTATAATTTTCTTGTTCGTTTAGAGTGACAAGCTTGTTACAATTTAAGATGAATTTAATTTCATATCTGTTAGCACCAACACTACTGTAGTATTATCATATTTATCATAAAATATACCAATACCAGTTTAAATATGTATTTATTTCAAAAACACCCTATTAACATTCATAAAGTTATAAAGTAAAAACTCTTGTATCATTATTATTAAATTTAATCTCCAAAAATAATTGATCTGTCAGTTTAATAGCCTTGAAATTTACAACATCCCTTTGATTACGGATTTGAGAATGTACCCCTAAGGAATCTGATTTGGCTTGAAGTTCAACTTGTTGAATAAAAAGATTAGAGCAGCTTACCAGCTTTATGATCTTTTCGCTCCTCAAAACGGCAGTTGATCTTATCATCAAAATCCCATTTTTTCTGTTAACGCCGATGTCAAATGTACCTATAAAACTGGTTCGGTTTCAGAGTGAATTCCTTTAGAAAGGAAACGATTTTCTGCGTTTAAATACATTGCAATTCCAATTTTTGTCAATCTAAAGTGACAAGAACTTATGATTTAATAAACTAATGAAGCGAATTTAAACTTATTTACACCTTTGAATAGATAATTAAAAACACTTTCAAATGAACTGCCACGCGATAACGCTTGTTAAAATTTAAAGGGATGTTGCTATGCCATTAATATTAGGGGTAAAATTTCTATAATAAAAATTTATTTCATCAGCGAATTTATAGTTATATAATATGTACCAAAAAGGCAAGATGATTGCAGTACAAGAAAACAAAAGTAAAAGAAATACAACCATTACTTTGTTTAAACAAAGCAAAAAACATAATTACTAAGACAGCGATGAATTAGATGTGTTTATTTTTCTTATTACAACATATTAACGTACAAGTGTGAAAACAGACATTAAGGGGTTGGTGGTATAAACAGGTATATATAAAATAAGTATTACTCGAGCCTTTGAGTTTAGTGATGAGCAAAACAAGACCAATACCGGGTTGGTCTTGGTCTTGCACACTCGGTCTTGGTTTTGCAAGCCTTCAGCTGGTCTTGGTCTTGCACAGCTAGGTCTTGGTCTTGCTGCAAGAGTCTTGCGAGTCTTGCATTTTTTGGTAAATCTTAAATACTGCTACATTGTACACAAAACACGTATTGTTGTTCTGTGAATTATAGTATTTTACAACATTTTTAAACACCGAAAAGAGTTGTAGTTAATAATGAAACACCCTGTATAAATTATTGCCATTAGAGGCTTAATGCATATTATAAAATCAGGAACTACTATGCAAACAGTAAATATAGTTATCTTCTTAGACGAATGTTTATATACTTACCTTTTATTTTCAGGCAACAATTAAAGAACGCAATACCGCAAGAGTCTTGGTCTTGCGTAAGTTTTGCACCACTTGGTCTTGGTCTTGCACACTCGGTCTTGGTCTTGCAAGCTTTCAGCTGGTCTTGGTCTTGCAAAAAAGCAAGACCAAGACCGCAAGACCAAGACCAGTCTCGCTCATCACTATTCGAGTCTGCCGGCAGTAATTTTTAACTGTAATACAATGTCAAAGTTATTAGGTACATATTAAAATGTTATACATAATATTCCCTTACAGGAGATTATCCTTGAAGATAATTTCATCTTATCTATACCAAAAATATTTTTCGATAATTTTAATATTATTTAACACTATAATATATGAACCAAAAACAATCATCTTTTATTCTAACACACACCAATCAAAACAAACTCTATCTGAAAACACTGCATGCTGCAACTTTGTTGACAGAACGGAGGTCCAGGAGGAGCCAAATGAGCTTTATCACAAGCAGTTGTTACCTGTTCAATCGAAGAGTTGTAGATTCTTAACTGAAAAATACAAAAGCATACCTATGGAATGTGACGTTAAATCCCTACTTTTACTACGGACTATAATAACACATAATCTAAAGTTAATTGTAAATAAAACTAAAAAATACACTTTAAACTCTTATTTCCTTTTTTTGTTTCAGGACGTCGCTGTTCATAGTAACCAGCTTCGTCTACGCCAAACTCCTAGTCGTCATCTGTATCGCCTACGTCATTTCCGACCTCGTCACGCACAACATTCCCCTCTACTACTACGAAGGTTTTTTCACCTACCTCTACGGATTGAGCATCCTTTTCCTGCTCTACGTTTTCTGCTTCCTGCTGCAAGAGAGCTCTTGTTGCACCGGCACCGAGAAGCAACCGAAACCCGTCGCTCGGAACAAGGCGAAAGAAAAGGAAGCGAAGAACAAGAAGGAAAAGGAGGAGAAGGAAAAGAAGAAAAAGGAGGCGGAGGCGCAGAAAAAGGAGAAAAAGAAGGAGAAAGATAAGAAGGATAAGAAGCAGGATAAGGTAGAATTGTTGTGAGGTTGTTTTAATGAGTTTTGGGTTTGTATTCGTACAGGATTAGGTGTTGAAATATAAATGTAGTTAATTCTAATATAGACCCACTCAGCTCTTATATTTTTTCTAGAGTTATTCTGCATGAGTTCATAAATTTTAGGGCAATGCGTTACAATTGGATGTCACCACTTTGGTGTCCATGACTCTTTAAATAGACCAACATTTTTCTCTTCATTTTTGAATTTCCCAATAATAGACAATTCCAAAAATGTATGCATTAAAAATATGTTGTTCTATTTAAAATAAAAAAAACGATGACGTCATTAATACATCCAATAGCATAAAACGCATAGTTTAAAATAAAAAAAATGAGTTATTAAAGCATTTTGTTAGAATACTGCTAGACAGAAAAATATCGAGTTTATTCCAACTAATGCGTCCTCACTGTATATCAAAAAATAGTTGGGCATATGGTCAATATTATTTTCAAGAATTCAGGAATTTTCACCTCATCCCATTTCTCCATGAGGGAGCTGCTTGTTCCTTTCTACTGTACTAATTTTTAATATTAAATTAATGATCTTAAAAATGTTTAAATAGATTACTGTTGCTATTACTGCTAGTATTGAAATAAGCTCCCCCTTTAATTTAATGATATAATAAAGTTGTACCGCCCAATCAGTTAATCGTCATTCATGTTGAAAACGCTAGAAAGACTAATATATAGATATATACGAGACGAAATACTGAGAGAAAACCCTCTTAGCGACCGTCAATATGCATATCAGCCAGGCAAGTCAACCGATTTGGCCCTGAATGATCTCAATAGGCTATTATCAAAATCTCTGGAGGATAAAGAAATGGCAGTAGCAACTGTCTTCCCCAGGGAGGAGTACTATCACCCCTCCTCTGATCACTCATTAAAAGGCAGATTTCTACTGCCCGGGGTATGCCGATGACCTGGCGATCGTCGTAAGAGGCAAGTTCGCAGGTACAATATCGGAGCGTACACAAACCGCTCTAAATATTGTTGACGAGTGGTGCAGAGGCACTCACGTCCATGCAGGTACACTCAAAGCTTGTTTGAGACTGTTTGGAAGCCCTAATAGAGCTGGGTAGTCAAAGCAGACTAACCTTAGCCTGCGTACCAGGCCACAGAGGACATAAAGCCAATGAAGAGGCTGATTTATTAGCCCGAGAAGGAGCCTCAAATACTCTTATTGGCCCAGAACCTCTCTGTGGTGTAACAAAAACAATTATCAGAACATGCACAAAGCATTGGATGTTTAAAAAATCTCAGGAGTGGTGGAAAAACTCACCAGGACAGATACAGGCCAAATAGTTCTTAAAAGGACCATCGCCTAAACTCACCAAACATCTATTAAGCCTTAATATGAAAAATACTAGAGTACTAGTAGGTCTATTAACAGGGCATTGTAAGCTTAACAAACATATGTATAATATCGGTCTGACAGAAGAGTTCTTGTGGCGATTGTGTCAGGAAGAGGAGGAAACAGCAAAACACGTATTGTGCTACTGCGAAGGTCTAGCAAGACAGATTCCTTACACTTGAAGAAGAAAAACGAAGGGCAACTAGCTATACCGGATAACTAATTCACACTCTATGGAGTTTACTACAAAAGACCGAATTAGACGAGGTACTCTAAACAACGATTAAATGATATCCATAATAGATCTGAAAAGTTCAAAGTGGGGGAGGCCACATGGTCCACAGTCCTAATTAAATCTAAATCTAAGCCCCCCTTGTGGTGCTATTTATTTAGTACGACGATAAATCTGTATAACATCTCCATCCCCTTCTCACCACCCTGAAAAAATTCTAAACGAATCGGTTCCAAACTTGAGTATTTTTTCACAAATTCAGGTACACATCGTTAAATATTTTAACGAAACCAGAACGAAGCTAATTAATCGTAAAATTCACTGACCTTCGATTAGAAATCTGTATTTATAAATTCCTAAATATAACCCTAGATCTCCGATCAAGTGCTATCCAATCAATATGGAATTTCTATTTACAGATTTCTTTGTCTAAACGATGTGTTTACATCAAATCGATCATAGCAATTTATTCCTGTATGAATATTTACTCAAAATTTCATTTTTTTGATCCATCGTTACCTTGTTGATTACTGACATGTTTGTGATTAGTAGATCGGCGGTAGTTTTACTAAACAGTTTTTTATTTTTAATAGGCCAGTATGAGTCAGACTAGTTTAAAAGGTTTTAAAAACCCGTTCAGACGAGCTGCATGTAGCGTCAATGGCTTGGATATGTTTTTGACTTTTAAATGCAGAATGGAACAGTTTGTATCTTCATTCTCTGCTTCATTACTTTTTGTAGCTCCCACCGAGATGACGGTTAGATTCAAGAGATTCTGAGATTAAAAACACTTTTTACTTACTAGGAGATATATTTTATTAATAGAGTCCAATATTCCATTTAAACAGTACCAATAAATTCCTCTGCTGTGTCTTTTTCTGGGAAACATCAATGTTCTTGATAAAACTAAAATAAACGTATTTGGACAGCTATACTTTTTGCATATTTTAAGGTGAACGAGTGAAACAATAAAACCACAAAAAATAACGTTAGATTAAAAAAAAATATATTTAATTTGAAATAATGACATTTGTTTCTGATATCTGTGTCTCACTCATACTAGCAAATACCTATAAGTACTAATCTAGATTCTAACAGAAAGTAGTGTGTTTAATTTTCGTTTAACAGTTTATTTTCTCATCTCACATTTTTATTTTTTTCTTATACTAATCTTAATATAGTGCGTGTAAAACTAGATCAAACTTTATATATTTCAATTATTTTTTTATTTTTTCTTTGTGTAGTAGGTACTTCTTGGCCACAGCTGTTTGTTAGTAATTTTCTATGTTTTGAATTAATATTAAATTGTGATACATATTTGAGAATGTTTGAAAAAAGTCTTAAATTTGTGTTTTTCTATGTGTAGAACGATTTTGAGTCAAAATAGGACGGCAATAATAGTACAAAAAGAGCGTATTCAAAAAGAAGCAGATAATAAAAGACGAATAGAAGTATATTTTGCCATGGCGAGCAGTTAATCATCCTATCATCTATTTAGGTTTATCTTCATCTCACATCGCCAAAATTCTTGGACCCCCTTATGTTTGTAAAAATGAAGAATTGTGTTACATAGTACTTTTAATTTGGTTATGTATCCAACACAAATTGGCTGAATTAGATTTTAACTCACCAAAAAAAAATACAAACGAAAAATAGTACATAATAAAATGATTACTAGAATTTGAATTCCAGAAGAAAACCACTTTAGATCGAAATCAGTGTTCTATAGTAAGGTATTAACTCGCTTGTGCATGGAAACATTGAGATGTTATTCCATTCTTCTTGGGCGGCGACTGTGAGTTCTTGGAGGGTGAATTCTATTTGAGATTGCTCTTCCAACGAAATCATACATGTGCTCAATGGGATTCATATCTGGCGAATTTGTTGGTCACAGTAATCTTTAAATATTCTGAAATTCTAGTGCATTTTGTACCGTTCTCGTGCGATAGGGCCCAGCATTGTCATCCATGAAAATAAAATTACCTCCAATTTAATTTCGGAGAGGATAAATAATGGGTTCAATAATGTTTCGAACATATCTATTAGCTGTCATAGTGTCTGGAATGGGAATAAGCTGCGTACGACGACCATGCATTCATTATGCCTCCCCAAAATATTACTGTTCCTCCTTGGTATGGAACGACTTCTCTGGCAAAAGATAGTCTTTCTAGTCGCCCTGGCCCTCTCCAAACTCTGTCGCCGACTATCACTAATTAAATCATATCTGGTTTCGTCCGAAAAAAGAACATTTCGCTATTGAGCTAAAAGCCAGTCTCTGTGTTCATGTGCCCACTGTAGACGAGCAGCTATATGTCTGGGAAGTAACCTGGGTACTCTTAATGGTCTCCTGGATTGTAAATTGACCGCAAGTGTCCGCCGCATTGTAGTACTGGAAATGAATCGATCATACGATCTTCTAAAATTGAGTTCGGACAGCTGAGACTGTTACGGTTCGATTTCGACGTACATAACCTGTTACATACCGATCTTCTCTTGGATTAGTTACCCTAGGGCGCCCAGTCCCATGTCTCCAGTCAACGCTGTTAGTTTTCTGGTACAAACGCACTATTCGGATAACTGAAGCGCGGGGAATCCCTAGACTATCTGAAATTCGATAGACCCTCATCATGCAAAGCCACTATTCTTGCTTTATTGAACACTGAAATTCTATTGCCAGACATAGTTGCAAAGAAAAACAACACGCAAAATCGATATGAACCACTTTTTAAACATTGGTATCTAAAATTGTAGGAAAATGTTTTTGTAAAGATTTTTAGATGCGTATCAACGGTGAAATAAATAAAGATTGAATGTACAAAAAAGTAGCCACGATAAATATTTCGCTCTAATATTTACGAGGGGGGTCCAAGAATTTTGGCGATGTATTTATTGTCTTTTCTGCCTTACTGTTCTCTATATTGACCGTATTCTTTTAATACTAATTATTTTCTATTTTTTATTTATCTATCAAGTCTATCTACGACGCTGTAGTTTTCTACTATACTTCATTTTTTAGATACACTAATAATAAAACAATGCTATTACATTTTTTTGTCTATTTCATCTATTTTATATGACTTCTATGCAAATGTTTCTACTTTTTCATCTACTGCTTTCTAATTATGTTTAAAATTATCTATACAAATATTTTTGTTTTACAAAACTGCATTTATATTTACCTACAACTTCTCTTAATTATATCTACTAGTCTCTTATCTTTTAAATTTGTCTCTAATTCTTTTGGAAAGATTGTAGAAAATTATATTTACAATGATTATCTTGTTCTGATTATCTTATAGCGCTTTTTTGACTCAAAATCAGTAGAAATATCTTTCTATGAGTCGAGAAATCAGATAAATTTTGGAGTGGTTTTCAATGTAGTTAATTTTTTGAATTTGCTGTGTGACTTTTATTAAATTTGAAAATCAGCTACTCCATCCAGAGCGCTTGTATCGCTGGTGCTCGACAAACTCCAACAAAAAAGTTATTTATTTGCAAGCCTCGACCAATAAAATTATATGGATATAATTAATTGATCGATTTTAAAATTTTTATTTAATTAATTTATTTCGAATTAGTTCAAAGTTTAAATAAAGGAGTAGAAATATGTTTTGCTTTAAAATAGAATTTAGTTTAGTAAACCATTATGTTTATGTCTTGAAATTTATGATAGTGTTAGATATAAAATAATATTAAGAGTCACTAGGGGTTAAGTCTGGACTGTAAATTTGTTAGTCTATTTTCTGGTATTAATATACAGTGTGTGAGTGTGTTTTTTCTAAATAACTACAGTGATGAAGTACTTTTATTCTCCACAATGCATCAATAATTAAAAAAAAATGAGACATCCGACAGGAAACTAACAAGTATCAGTTTTTAAACTAGGAGGGGCAAATTAAATAGTTTTATTTATAATTCAGGTATTGCTATTATTATACTCTTCATACAGTAGTCTGTGAAAATTATTATAGGTTTACCTTGTCTGTCTATCACTCTATCTGATGTCACGTTTTTTGTCGGCACAATATGTCAAAAAATAAAAATGGTATCAACTTGAAAATTTCAGGAAAAATCAAGTTCTCTAAGGGGACGAAGCATATTAATTGTGAAAAAACTTGAATAAAAATGAGGGGTTAAGGGGGCCTGAAAAAAAAAACGATATAAATATCAACTTGAAATTTTTGACAATAATCAAGCTCTATAAGAAGACAAAGTTTATGCATAAAAAAACTGAATAAAATGGGGGTCAACTTTTCTGTCAAATAGCCTAATCGGGAAAATTCAAATTGCTCCTCCTAGTTTAAAAAAGTATTCACAAAAAATGTACTTACTTAATCATTATCTTCTTTTATATTTGGTTATTTAAGGGGTGTTATTTATCCCCATGTGAAACGGTCATTGACCTATTGCTCCCCTTTTATGTAGTGATGGCATTCAAGACTACATTTCGTGTATAATTAAATCTTTTGAACTACTCTGCAGTTGCGCAGCTATCGTAATATATGTAACCTATATCACTGTTTCTTCTATATTTTTATTGTACTTTTACTAAGATTTTAAAGAATTTCAAGACATAAATATTCAAAGCGTCGCAAGAATATTTCAGCTAGTTTTTACTAATATTTAGTGGCCAATATATTTTAGATATATTTTCAATATCGTTAAATTAACCAACAGTTAACTAACCAAGCTCAACTAACTTACACGCACGATAATAACATTCAAATCAAATTAACTGATCTACTTTTTTACTCATTCACACGTTTATTTATGATTTCCAAAGCAGTTATTGGAAGAGGCCCAAACCAACGAAATATTCAAATTTTAGTTTTCACTTCATCCTCAATTCTTACAAAAAAATTGGAAGTTATTTTGATCAAATTTGCTCATGGAATTGTGATTTTTTACAGACCGAAGATGCCAACCAGCCAATATCCGTACAATGGCAATTCGACGGGGTAAGGGAATTATGAAAATTCAAATTTCGTGATCGGTAGAAAATTCTGTTTTAGGAAAAAAAAAATTAATTTAACAAAAGTTACCTTCAATCGGTGGTCAAAAGGTATTACACAAATTTTGATGTTTCCACGTGTATTCATAAACACAAGAGGTTATTGATAATTTAACCAAGGTAGAAACTTTTATTAAATATAAATTTATAATGATCCTGTCAATAAGAACAAATTATGGCATCAAAATATTTCAATTGAAGTCAAGATGTCAGAAGGAAGCTAAATACATAGTATTTTGGCGGAACTGTCTACTATATTCTAGTACATCTCCTTTTTCTTTCTGAACCACTCCTTGATAGATAAATAATGAAAAAGAACCGTTATACCAAATCTAGTAATAATAACTACGAAAACTACAATATTTAAATCTTTGTCAACTATTATTTCGTGTTGGACCAGAGTCATATCTAATCCAAATATGTATACAACATGAGTAAAAAAATAATCAAAACAATGTTTGTCTTGAAATTAAAAAAAGTGATTTATTCTGTAAAGCATGATCAATTTTTGTTCTTTCAAGCATGATCATCATTTGCTCTGTAAAGGATAATCATTTGTCTATAAGGCATGATTATTTTGTCTGTAGAATGTTTATTTCTCTTTTAAAGCTTGATCATTTGCTCTGTAAAGCATGATCATTCGCTGTGTAAAATATGATCATTTGCTTTGTAAAAATCGTTTGCTGTGTAAAGCATGGCATTTTACCGTTTCCAATTGCGATTGACCACTGATTTAAGATAACTTTTAAGAAATATATTTAGAAGGACTACCCCTCCAGGGGCAGCGTTGTACCCTTTCACAAAAGTTAAATAATTATTAAACGAGTTTCATCAGTTTTTAGTAGGCAGTGATATTGGACCTTTCAATTTTTAAGGGGTCCACAGGTAAGGTAGTTCTCAATAATTATATTAGTTATAAAATTTCGTTGTTTTAAAATAGACAAACGTAAATTCAATCATTATAACATTAGAGGGAGGATTGTGTTAAAATATTTAATTGTTTTTAGTATTGTACTTGTAAGATTGATTCAATTCGTACATCTTAGAAGAGGTAGTCGATAGGAGTTAAATCTGTTTGAGAAAAATAAGAACTTTTCTGCTAAATGTTTTCATTTTCACATATCTACTTTTAAATATCCAAGCTATTTACTCTTGTTTTTTTATCCATGCGTGAATTTGAATTCCAAAGATATAACTTATCTTTTTTGGATAAAGTAAGTATTAAACATTTTGCTACGATATTTTTTTATTAATGAAGCAACTTTGTATATTACACAATTTTTGGAACTAACACCACGAGAATCGGGAACGGTCCATTCACACTTACTAAATCTGTAGATTACGATTATGCAGCAAACAAAAGACGATTGATAGTTATGGGACCCTTCTTCCTGACTGCTAAAATTATTCACCATTTTTATTATTTACTTTTGATTTGTGGGGGTAGAGCACCTACCGGCGCAACTCTGAAGGGGTGGTTGACGCAGGCCTGGCAGCCGTGCCGGTGCCTGTAGAAGAAATAACTCAATCTCAAGCTGCTACTGTTGTATCGCAGGAACAGACTCCTGCGGCACCAGCTGCTCCTGCTGCTACGCCGGCTGGTCAACAGGCTGGCCGTCAGTCAACTCCCGCCGGAGACTCTGACACAATTGAATGTGGATCGGATGGTAAGGGAAAGTGCAAGCGCAAGACGTCGCAGAACGATCACAGCCATGGTAGCTTCTTCTTGAGGATTGGAGCCATAGGTATGTAACGTAACATTTAGGTATCTTTTATAGTACATACTGCCTGACATGAAAGTACTATTCAATGTTCATATTTAGAGATTATTGATTGGTCATACTAAATTTATATTACTGTATTTTTTACTAAATTTATTGTATTAACTATATTAACAGTATTTACAGCATTTCCTGTATTCACTGTATTTACTGTATTTACTGTATTTACTGTATTTACTGTATTTACTATATTTACTGTATTTACTGTATTTACTGTATTTACTGTATTTACTGTATTTACTGTATTTACTGTATTTACTGTATTTACTGTATTTACTGTATTTACTGTATTTACTGTATTTACTGTATTTACTGTATTTACTGTATTTACTGTATTTACTGTATTTACTGTATTTACTGTATTTACTGTATTTACTGTATTTACTGTATTTACTGTATTTACTGTATTTACTGTATTTACTGTATTTACTGTATTTACTGTATTTACCATATTTACCGTATTTGCTGTATTAACCGTATTAACCATATTCACCGTATTTATTTATTTTTCAAAGTCTATGTCACTTTTTGTATATTTGTTGCAGCTTTTGGTTTGGGGACGATGATCTACATTGGATTGGAGTTCGGATTGTTTTTCGAAGTCCCCTTTACCTCGCCCTGCTACATGATCTTAAGAGGAATAAATCCTGTTTTACAGATGATATTCACCTTCATGCAAATGTATTTTATTTTTATGAACTCACGGGTAAATAGCTGTTTACCAATAATTAAGGTTATTTATGGACACACCATTACTTCTTTAGATATACTACTTTTAAATGTGTGAACTGTTTTTGGTTTAAATAAAATTCTTAATTTGTTTCGAATTTCATGTTATAAATTAATTGGGTTTTATAAACACTTCTCTTTAATTCTAAAAAGCATAACTTAAGCAACGTAATATAAAATTGCCAAAATCAGTGTCAGAAAAAGTGTATTAATGAAAAGCAACTACTTCTTAACAGTTCTTATAGTTTCAGTTATTCAGTTAATATTCAGTTATTATTTAGTCACTATTCAGTTATTATTCAGTTAATATTCAGTTAATATTCAGTTATTATTGAGTTATTATTCAGTTATTATTCAGTTATTATTCAGTTAATATTTATCTAATATTCAGTTAATATTCAGTTATTTATTCAGTTATTATTCAGTTATTATTCAGTTATTATTCAGTTATTATTCAGTTATTATTCAGTTATTATTCAGTTATTATTCAGTTATTATTCAGTTATTATTAAAGACCGGACATTTTAATCGCGTTCAAATAATTGGTTTTAATCACATAGGCGTCTCATTCTGGGTTCGCTATTTAAGACGGCAGACAGTGCGGCAGATTCTAATACTATCAGGACAAACCTCTTTTTTTTATTAAAACAAGATAAAAAAAGTGTACTGATATATACATAGACATTAAAACTAATACAAAAAAGTGAGATTTTTTTTTATCGTGTACCTATATTCTTTGTCTTTTGAATCATTTTCATTAAACAAATTTAATGTTTTCTTCTCACCAACGCCGAGGATATGTAGGATATTTTACAAAAGTTTTTAGTAACCTCAGATCCTTTAATTTGTGGCCTGAGAAATTTTCCTTAAAAAAAAATAACTTTTTTGATGAAGATGTTAAACTTTTCATAAGCGAGTTTAAGGTGTAGTAATGTAAACGATATTCTGTATGATATTTTTTTTATTATTATCTCTTATATAATTACAAAATATCTATTCCTCAATATTTTGGCGTGGTACACTACTCTCCTGCCTAAAATGAGGATCGAGGACCCCAGCTGCCTCCCCCGAATTTGTTATTTCCTCCAGAAAATTGGAAATTTCTAGCCTTAGCTGGTCCCGATTCATTGTTGGAGAAATTGCATCGGGGCCAAATATTAGGACTCTACGAGCGTTTGGACTAAGACGCTGTAGAGAGGGCCTAAAATGAATGTCAAATAGGCCCATCATATGTTGTCTTATACTTTCTCGATCCATTGTCGGTTAGTTGCCGGTGATATTTTTATTCAAATAAAGTCAATCCTTATATTATATTTATGAATATTTTGGCTTTTATCGATACCGTACATACCGATTTTTTGTAACAAAACATTTATGTTTTTATTTCCTGTGGATATTATGGTACTTATACACGATGAGACAATAAAATAAATGTCTGTTAAATTTCTGTAATGTATGTATTAATTCAATTGCTCACTCTATATAGGTATCTGTTGGTTGAAAAAATGTAAAAAGATAACAAAGAGTCGATAAACAGGAGATTTGAGAAGAAAGTGTCTTGTAAAAATATCACTAGATTTTTCCAATGAGTATATTTGTTTAGTTCAAAGGGAAAAGTGATAGAAACTGGAAACGTAAATATGGAAAATTTATTATCGGACTTTGATTGTTTTCGTCGTTTTAATGACAACAAATTATACTGCCGCAATTGTGATCAGGTGTTAGTTTTTAATGGAAAGTCAAGTATGACACAACATGTGAAAACACAAAAACACATGCAATCTTTAGAGGGATGTCCAGACAAAATCTTTTATGAAGATTTATGCAACGCATTTGTTTCTGCAAATATTCCATTAACAAAATTAAATAATACAATTTTCAAAAATTTTCTTTGTAAATATACTAAACGTAAAATACCGGATGAATCCACAATTAGAAAACATTATATTCAAAATCAGTACGATAAAGCAATGACGGCAATAAAAACGAAAATTTCCAGCAAATATATTTGGGTTAGTGCAGATGAAACGACTGACATAAAGGGTAGATGTGTTGTTAATGTTGTTGTAGGATTATTAAGTGCTGAAAATACTTCACAACAGTATTTAGTTTCTAGTGTGTTTCGTGAAACTGTGAACGCTGAAATGATTTATGAAATAGTGAAACGTGGATTGAACAATGTAATTGATAATGACGTTTCAAAAGTTTTATTGTTTATTTCAGACGCGGCAAGTGTAATGTTGAAAACAGGGAAACTATTACAAGAACATTTTCCAAACATGCTGCATGTAACTTGCCTTGCTCACGCGTTACACCGAGTTTGTGAGTTTATCCGTGACAGCTTTCCAGACATTAATTCGTTGATTAGCTGTTTTAAAAAAATTTTGTTAAAAGCACCGTCCCGAGTTTCTTTATATAAAGAAATATGTCCGAATATCCCCCTACCTCCACAACCAGTTATTACACGATGGGGAACTTGGTTACAGGCTGTGTTCTTTTTTTCGGAGCATTTCGACAGACTAAAAGTATTTATTTCCAACTTATCAGAGGACGCTCTCTCTATCACTCAGTGTAAAGGTTTAATAACAAAAACAACTTTGCAGTCGGAGTTAAATTTTCTTGCGACTTATTTTTCGTGTCTCCCAGAAACTATAAAATTCCTTGAAACCCGTAACTTACAATTATCGGTTGCTATGGAAAAATTTGAATCGACATTGTTACACTTAAAAAACGTAAAGTGGCCCTTACAAGATAAATTTAACCATAAAATAGATTGTGTTATTAAAAGAAATCCAAATTTACAGACTCTGAAACAAATCTCCCTGAACAATTTTAACGATTATGAAACTGCTTTAAAATATTGTGATTTTGTTCCACATTTTTCATTTGCTCCTGTAACGAGTTGTGACGTAGAACGATCGTTTTCTAGGTTTAAAGATTTATTGACTTCTAAAAGAAGTAATTTCACTGAAGACAATTTAGAAAAATATGCAGTCATACAAACATATTTTTCAAATGAAGAAGATTGATATTAATTTGTATTGTATATATTGTATATAATTGTATATTTGCTACTTTAGGATAAAGAGTGTATATTGGAACACTCTAAACATAAAACTAATGATGGTGTATCCTCGTTGATATATTTATTAGTCAATAATATATTAACAGAAAAAGCCAACAACATTATCCCACAACACAATAAAAAAATAAATAATAATATCATTTGTAATTATATAATAATATCCAACCAAATTTGAACTAAAATTTAATAAAATAATTATTGCAATGTAAATGTAATAATAAGCCCGCCCCAAATGTTACGCCCGAGCGATAAAAATCCAATATCTTATCTACTGTGTCGACCAGTTCAGTAAATAACTTGTTTTATTCAGAATGTATTATTCAAATCGAAGGTCCGCTCTTACCGTTACTTCGCTGATAAGAATAAATTAAATTGTCCGGTCTTTAGTTATTATTCAGTTATTATTCAGTTATTATTCAGTTATTATTCAGTTATTATCCAGTTATTATTCAGTTATTATTATTATTTAGCATCGTACAAATCTGACGAACCTGGGCCCGTTGTTGACCCAGGCGCGGCGCGGGCCCAGCGTTATATTTATACCCATAATATTAAAACTGGTTGTTTTTTATTAACGGATATTAAAAAAAGAACAGTTCACATTACTTTTGTTGATTTATCCTTAAATCCCAATACTAATATTGCTTTAATTTCAGCTCAATATCCACCGTTTCAAAGTTATAGCTCGATTTGGTTTGATGCACATTGTTGCTACAAATATATGTGTATGGATAAGAACCTTTTTTATAGAATATTTGAAAGATATTACTAAATATCATGTGAGATATTTCAATGGTACCAATTTGACTACTGAATCGACATATGCAGGTAAGAAATTGAATTTTCATTTAACATATTTTTACAAATTTAGTTTATTATTAGAAGTTAAAACGAATTAACTTCAAAATTATTGTTTTAAAATGATTTATCACCCTGTATACTATAACACACTGTATAGCCACTTCACAAAATACGTGTATTTATAATGTTTCATTAAATATCTCTTGAACAATGTTTAAAATTTAATTAATTGAACAAAATAAAGAATGTCGTTAAAGGGCATTAAATGCCTATTTGCTTGCGTTCGACTGGTCGAAATTCAAGTGTTCCCGTGTTCACTCTTGGCTACTGCAACGGACGCGATATGGTACCGTCGACACTAGTGACGGCGGTATTCTAATTATAATAATTGTACATAAATGCAGTATCTTCCAGAGGTAGTGAAACTTGTAGACATAGACTAAGGCACATACATGTCAATTTACTCATCATTTTCTTTTTGTGTAAAATGATTCGTTTAGTCACAAACGTTTAATATTGACATTATCTCTAAAAAAAACCTTATTTTTAACATAACCTGTCTTGTTAATTAAATTTCCTTCCTTAAATACCTTTTAAGTGCACTAAAAGGCCAATTCTCTGGAGTTTCTATGGAAATTGCCATCTCTTGTGTCTAATATATTCAGTCCTTCGGTAAATGTTGTAAAGAGAACTTCCTAATATACTTTAATATTGTATCAACGGTTTTGTCTATTAAATTAACGGTCTCTTAAGGAAGATATTAAATTATCAGATGGAGCACGAACAATGTTTTGCCTCCATTTCACACGTCCCTTGATAGCAGCGAAGTTTGAGCTAACATAATTTGATTCATAACAACCTTTCATAGTATTCTATAAGCAATGAGCGGTACCTTTGAAATAAATAGAAGATGTGATGAAACTATTAGGAAGAACGAGCAGTTTTTAAGCAGTTAAGTTGGGAACAAGACGTGCGAAAAAAGTATGGAAAGCAAAAGTTATTTAATAAAAATAAAAAAGGAGAAGAACTCACAAGTCGCGCAAAACAGTAATTGGTGAAAAAACAAAGCAAAAAATAATATAAACAGTGGATAGACCAGAGGACGCGGGTTCAAGCTCCGCCCAGACTATTTTCTTTGGTTTATTAGCGCACCCAGATTTCTCCCCGATTTCTCCATTATTATTTTGTCTTTTGTAGACTAGCAACAACTGCTTGAAAGGTGCTGGTTGATTAAATTTCTTATATTCTATTTCAGAAAATATTAAATCCCACAATCTGCGAAACGCAAACACTGTCCTCGGGCTTCGCAAAGCAGTTCCAGACAGAATACCACAAACCAGTACAACAACCGCCTGGCCAATAACCAGTACCGTAGCAACATTTTACAATAGATTCATCACCACCTTAAGACCTACCCCACGTAACCCAAACTCATGTAAGTAAATTGATTTTACCAGTTTTTCGCAAAGGATAATTTTTAAATTGATATTTGATTTATAGGGGCGTTCCCGTCACCGACTCCAGCTAAGAATTTTACGGGAAACCAGTGGAGGATAACACCGACAACCACATCTACAACAACCACAACCACTTTACCCACCACCATGTCGAGATTTACGCCGAGAACGACGATATCTAGAATGTGGAGAGCGATTTCTACGAGCCTAAGTAGCACCTCCACTACCACTAGTACCACCACCCCGAGCACAACAACAGCAACAACCAGTACTACACCTAGCACGACCGCTTCGTTTTTTACCACTTCAAGTACCACCACGTCGGCTAGACCTACTATGTCATTAAACAGTTTCTTTGATTCTAGTCTAGTACGCAGCATTACTGCTGACAATATTAACAGTGCCTCTGGTAAGTCTAGATTAGATTATATTAGATTTGAAAGGAGTTTGACATTATTTGTTCTTGTCCATCGCGACATCTTCATATCTACTGTGGGACTGCTTTATTTAGAGTACGTTGTTTAGCTTGATCTTTTTTATTAGCTTTGATAGTTATATAATCTTCAATCTAACCAGGCCTTCACACTGGCACAGGACGTGGATTGATCTCTTCACAGAACCTGCACAATTTGCTTCTGCTAGATTGATGATACTCATTACTTTTTTAAGCGACAGTGTCCGGTAAGAATAACCGACTGTTACTAACGATTTGTCGTTTTTGATCTAATAGGTATTTCGTGAATTTGACCGACTGTTCCATAATGGACTTTTTGGCCTCTCTAAATCCTGGATAATCCACTATTCCTAAGATCTTTTTTTCATCCACTGTTTGAGCCTTGCAGGATGCCTCAGCAACTTTACAGTTGCGCTAATTCATCGGCCTTTGATATCCTTGATATTCTTCGTGACCTAGTAGACAGGCTAAGGTCATTTGATGTTTTGTTTGAAATTCTAGTACGCATTGCTTTTTGACTTATCCTGAATCTTTTTTTTTGTGTACAGCTTCAACATCTAAGGTCATTAGCCTAGTGTTCTATGTAGGTTATGGATTGTACTAGTAGTCTAATACTCCATAGTGCAGAAGCATTAGTACTCTAATACTCCTACACCCCTACAGACAGTTCTTGTTACTGTTTTCTTGCGCCACTTTAGGAACAGCACTGTTAATTAGAACCCAACAGTGAATGGTCGAGTGGGGAATCCTACCAAGGCATCAGAATTAATTGAATCATTTAACATTGATTTTGAATAAATGAAAATATAAGAGAAAATATATATGACATAATGTAAAACAAGACCTTTGGAAACAGGTGCTCTTACTAAGGCTGATTTTAGTCATTCTCTTTAGAGCGCAATGTTAATCTCTATGGTGCTAATGTTGTTGATCTTTGGTTGGCTAGTGATGATTATATGCTTACTATTATAGAATAAATGAAATCGGAAATTGATTGTAATTTCAAAGAAAATATTGTATAAACTTCCAAAAAGATCTATTGACTCACCTTTTGAAAGTACCTACTGAGAAATACCAGGTATGTATTTTATTCAAGAATTAAATGCTAATCTTTAAAGGTGACCAAAGTGAGTCGTTAATAGCACTTAAGCGTGCCCACTTCCGCGACATAGAGATTATCGTCCAATAGACAAATGTTTTCCAGGGTGTTTAGTTTCTGAAATCTTCAATCTAGTTATTTTTTTTTGTAGAGGGTATTAAGTATTGTTATAAAAGGTATATTGAATGAGAAAGATTAATTTCAATACAGCAATTGGTTGTTTATTAGCTGAACCTTTTTTTTGATCCTAGTAACAGTGATTTGAGAACTACTTGGAATGTCAGCTTTTGTAGCGAACCGTGCCATGCCTAAATTATTTATTTTACTGTTAAAAACACTTTGTATTTTTAACAATTTTGTATAGTTACATTTTCAATATTTTATTTTAGAAAACAAAGCAGCAGAACTGTTTCCAGAACTTAGCAATACACTTTCGTCCAATAATGAAACCGAATTCCTGAATGACATCATTCCTCAGGCATTTTCGTTTTATTCTTCGTACAATGGAACAACAAACAGTTCCGATAACTGTGGCAGACTGAATATTATGGGAACAATCGTAGAAGAGTCCGGACCTTATCTATACCCATTCATCATCGAATTTTCTCTTATCGGCGCAGCCGTCATTTACGTCATGTGGAAGCATATTGGCAGGAATCCCAAGTAAGTTGAATTTGTTTGTTTCGTTGTTTTGTTTTATTGTTTTTGTTCAATAGGAACAATAAATAACCGTATTTGTCACAAGTTAAAAAGCAGAGTCGTACTACAGTTTGCAAAATTTATTATGGGGGTTTATTGCTCCGCCCTTGACCTATTTATTTTCGATGGAATTACGGATTCTGAGTTTAATATCTGCTTCATTATCCACCATTAATTGGAACATTTTTTCGAAACAGTTAACCCTTCATAGTTTTATTTTAGCCAAATAATTTCTTTAGTACCCCCACTTACTGTTATTATTTCTGCTTTTGTAGTTGAAATAGCTACTGATATCTGTCTGGTGATTAACCAAGTTATTATACTTCCAGTATATTTCCAAACAATGTCTGTAGTAGAAAGTATTATCTACAGTATCGTATGCGTCGTTGAAAGCTTCTAAAATCACATCTTTGTGACCAAATCCATATAAAAGACCAATGTGGGTGTCTCAATATTCTTTTAACTCTGACCATAGTTGGAAGTGCACTAACTAATAAGAACATAAGAGCATCAACTGCTTGTCTGTAGGCAAAATATTAAAAATCTTCTGATTCCTTCTCTGTTTGTCATAACTTTTGATCATTATTTATTTATTTATTTATTGATCTATATTTACTCATACCAAATAGTTATAAGATCTTTTTCGTGTAAGCCTGTTGGCTGATGTAATTGGAACCTATCTATTTCTAATTCTAAAGAGTAATTTGGGTTTATAATAATTTTGAATACATTTTTCAAATTTCTAATAAAATCTCTGGTAAAAATTTTCATTAGACGATGTTTAAAGTTCATCTTCTACTTAAAGAACACTAATTAGAAGAGATTTGCTGACACTTTTTCTGCAGCACTCATTTTGAAATCATCTTTCATTATACAATCTACAAATCTAGTTTTCCAGCGTACCTGTTTCAACGTTTTTAAACCAGCGTATTTTACTATCCATTAGCTAAGTAATTCCATAGAAAGAATAAATATGATTCATTTCAGATTCAAAACTGTAAAACATTTTAATCTGACAGACAACTTGGTCATCTATTGGTTATCTATTATTTATTTTCTTCCATTTTTAGATATGTCAACCAAGAAAATCTCGAACATCGTCTAGAAATCATGTTGTCTCGTAGAGCCGTAGCTCTAGCTCAAGCCCAACAACAAGGTAGAGTCGATTGCGTCGGAGCGTCCAAAGGTCTTTTCTTCGGGCTTCTAATGCTAGTCGGTTCATTGATATGCCTGATCCTATTCTTCGTCTTAGTGTCGAATGATACTTTCAAGCTATTGGCCGTCTATTTAGCCGAAGTGTCCCACTGTGCATTGCTGGTGCTAAGCATTATAGCTATACTGATTGGATTTATAAGGTAAGAACATTGTTTTACATGTAGCAAATGGGATAATAATTTATCTTGTAAAAGCCGTGACATGCGCAAACTTGAGACATGGCGGAAAGAAAGATTCTTGCCACGTTGCCAAATTTATTATTATTATATAAAATACACAAATATATTAAAGTGGATACACAGTTATTATAGATGATTTGATACTATATTTATTATGGGGGTACTACCTAACCATATTGAAGTGAATTATCTTTTAGTAACTCAAAGTTCGTTTTTTAAAATAACTTTTATTTAAAAAAATTAAATACTAATCTTTTTTCAAGCGTATAAAATCTAGCAACAGACTCAACTATAATTGAAAAGAAATTGTGTAAAATATAAGACTATATAGACAATAGCAAGTTTAGCAGATCCAGTATTTTTGTGTTTAAAGCTATGTATACGAGACGACATAATTAGTGTGACGTAATTAGAAAATACTTATTATTACCCTTCTAGTTTTAATAGGTTTTACTTTTGACATGGTCATTCATGAAAAACAGAAAATAAACTCACTATACGTTTTCCAATACGCCTTGCACAAGTGCATGTGATAACTATAGAGTGTTGGCATTAAAGCGAGCAGGAAACGAATAATATCAACGCTGCCAGTTTATACGGCCCGACCGCATTATAACGTTGCCTGGTGTTATACGCTTAAATCTCTTTTACATTTATTTTCAGGGTGAAATCACTGAAATTCAAAAAAGAAGAACATAGTGACTTAAACGACATATTGCTAAGAATCTCGGCTTTCGGACTCTTTTTATATGCAGTTTTTAGTGTGATCGCTGGTCATAAAAATGCATTTTCAGAAGAAGCTAATCTACTAACTATGATCACAGGACTGCTCGTCGTTTTCCAAGTAAGTATTTAATCATATAAAATATCTTACTACTAAAAGGTTCTGAAATTTTTTGTTACGAAATCGTGATGATGGCTTAATAAGCCGAAAGCAATGGACAAATAGCCATTAAAGACAGGGGTTATACTCCATTAAGCACACTTTAATACCAAATATAATTTTATTTCTTAATTTCTCAGTGTATACACAGTGTGTACCTATCATCTTTTTTTGAGGAATGTTAAATTTATTTAAACAAAATTAATTCACTTACATTACCCTTCAAAACTCTGGACATTCAAAAAACGTCCACTCCTGGATTATTATTCAATTGAGACCACATCATCCCCACTTTTTTACACAACCGCAACTCACCACACACTATTTTTTATTATTAATAATTTATTTATTATTTTCGCAACCCGCTATACACTATTTCTTTTTTTTTTGTTAATTAAAAATCGCTTGATCTGAGCAGGTATCAAACTCACGACACGTCCATTATCGTTCTACGCTTTCAACCGCTAGAAGATATCGACCAAGGAGCCACTTGAAAACTTTTAACTAGATATGGTTGTAGTAGAATAAGATTTCAAAATTCCTATGGATGAGTGAAATAGATTCAATTTGTCAATTTTTAATGATCAATTATATTAAAAAAAGAAAGTGTATATAGATTGGTATTATACTTGTAAACTTGCATAATCTAGTAGTTTTTTTTTCATTGTTGGTATTATCTATCTGTTAGGCTAAATAAATAATGATCTAAGATGGACGTCCACTGGACGTCAAAATGCTACTAGAACTTAAAATTAAGTCAAAAAACAGACGTCTTCTGAGTATTGATATGTAGTTGTCAAATTAATATACGGGCGTACACTGCATATAAACGTTCTGACCCTCAAATGGATCTAAAGTAGATGTCCATTGGACTGTGTGTGCTGTCTGAGTGATTCTTATTAAATGGCATTGAACGCTGGTGACTCTCAGCTCTTATGTTCGTTTTAAACTGTCAGAAATGTGTAAATGTTTATTTTACTTTATTTGCCATATATATCAAAGTAGGAAAAAAAATGTTTGTCATATATCTTCAATATTTTTCATTATTTATATACTATTTCTTTTTCGTAGGATAATTTCCCATTCTCATAATTTATAGATAGCTATTTTAATCATAAATTTATTTCAGGTAATTTTACAACTCCTCTTCATCGCTGACGTCTCTCGCCGCAGAGTCCACCTTCCAGAACATGACAGAACAAAACCCGGCCGACAAGTGGTCACCTTCTTACTCATTTGCAACATCACAATATGGATCATCTACACTTTCGAAATGCGAAAAGTCGAGAACAATCCGGTTCAGCTGAAATATTACGGTTACCTCACTTGGTCGATGGTTCAAAGATTAACACTGCCCCTTTGCATTTTCCATAGATTCCATTCGGCAGTCGCACTGGCCGAAATCTGGAAGACCAGCTACAAACCGCGTCTAGAATGAGGAGAGTTAGTTAAATAATTTTTAATAATTGAAAGAATGCCGATTCTTAATCATTTGAGTTCGTAACTTGAAGCAAACACATGCTCATTAAGTCAAAAAAATGGTACGTACTTATTTCATTGGAAATAAACAGCGATTATCTGGGATAAGAATGGTAAAGACGGTATCAAAACTCGAAAATAGGGCTCATTTTTTAAATATATTTATTTTCCAAATTATTTATCCAACTGCTCAATGAATTTCAGAAACTGCTCTAGTTCATAGGCTCAAATCTACAAAATAGCTCACCTGGTGAAGCTTTTCTATGCTGCTTAAAACGATTAACACATATCTCAGTACTATTTGGCAATTTTTAACCAAGCAATACAAAATTCTGAAGATATTAGGTCTCAGATTTAGCAGATTGCAGAATTTTGAACATGAAATCAGGACAAAAATTGAACAAAAAATTTCCACACATCTCAAATTTAAATGTTTTTGAATAAAAAACATGTAATAGACGATTATCGAATTTTGAAAGACATTCTTACAAATTTGGATTTAAAATAAGCCCATTACAAGTTGCCGAAGGAATCTCTAGAGGTGTTGAAGAACTTACTGGGGTCGAAGAAGTCTCTACAGATGTTGAAGAAGCCTCTAGAGCTGCTGCAAACGTATTATTACACTGAGGAACTGAGAAAGAATGATTAATGATTTAAAATTAATAAAAGCTTGTAATTATATCATTGGAAATGATTTATCTGATGAATAGTGAGGCTAAGTTTAGCAGATTCTGGAATTCAGCGGTAAGTAGGAAGTCTTGGAAGTTTGAGAGTAGTCTTAAGTTCGATTGTGTGAGTTTCCTTTTCGGTTTTCGAAAGAGCAGGGAGGAAGTGTAGGCGCCAAGGGGTTTGTAAAGTGTTTTGGGAGAATTTCAGAATATGGAGATGTTTGTGGATACATTTGCTGGGAGTTTACTGCAGTGACCGCAGTAGTGCAAAGAGAGGAGGTTGCGTCCTAAATGAATAATTGATCAGGTCTGAAACCATGTTTGCATTGAGGGATTGTATTTCGTTCTTTACAGAAGCCCAAGGTGCTTTCCTTGGGCGGAAGTTCAAGGAGTTTACGTAGTACTGATATGATAGAGACGGTATGAATCCAAGGATTTGGGGTCATTGCCTGGTTTAGTAATCAAAATGGTGTTAGCGGATTTCCAGGCAAGTGGAAATAGGAGAAGGAGACAGGCATTTAGGAGTAGGGTGAGGATAGAAAACATGGTTTCAGGAAGGTGTTTCAGCATTTTTGTACGTATGGAATCGCGCCGAGAGGCTGTGTTTTTGGATGTCTTGGAAGGTGAAGATAAGATAAGACGTGATCAATTAAAGTAAACATTAAATTCTTTGTTGATGATCAATTAGTATGATTATTGTCACTTAGGTATATTGTTAATTGTTTTGAGCAGTAATTTAATACATCGAGACAGGAAGTCATTTTTAAAATCAATCAACTCTATGTCTTCCTTTAATATAATATAACGACTCAATTTAAAGTAGTTTAAAACAAAATAAAAACGTATTGACATTGACATGAAATGCTTTACGAAATAGAAGAACTTACGCCATTTTTACATTTTGGTAACTTATTAAAAATGCACTGATTGATAGCATGTGATTGCCCATTATTTAAATAGACTTTTTAAAAGAAGAAAATGGTTTGTCGATACACACAAAAATCCTGAAAGTCGACAATGCAATGTTTTTTACTGTGAGACCAATTTTTACTAACTTCATTCTTAAGTACACCACTCACGTCATTAAGTCATTGCCCCTCCCTCCTCCTTCGGTTGGTTTATGCGAGTTACTGAGTTCGTCTTGAAGTTATTTATCTGTTTGGGTAATTTTTAAATGTACAGCAGACTGTTAAATGTCAGATGTCAAATTTTGACTAATTCCGCAATGTATGACCAATGAACTGGAGTGGGGTAGAATGTTTGTTAAATGGCTTGAGATGCGACTCTATGGACGCAGCTATATTATTTTTCATCTCACTTGGGAGTATTTATAATAACTATTTTCTATTTCACATTGGTATTGTCTGATCCACCAGCTTGTGGACTGGATAATAACAATGTAAAACAGAAAATGGTTATTATAAATACTCTCGAGTAAGATGAACAATAAAAAAGGCTGCGCCTACCTCACTAGAGTACATTGTGTATGACTCGAATATTTCACGTGTGTTTTAAAAATTAACCAAATTCTGAAGATATATTCTTTATCTTTGCTCAAGTTGTAATGTTTTAGACATAGTTAACTTATTGTATGTATAGCGTTATTTTTTTACTTTCGATATTGTCTCGTGACTATATTAGAAAAATTTATATGATTGTGACCTCAGCTTGGTTTTTCAAAATAATTTAGCGCTGTATCTGTTCTATTAAGTCTTTTCCACTTTTAAAATTTTCTGTAAATGTTTTTGATGATAAGTAAAAAACATAATTTTGAAGGTGCTTAAATAAAAAAATATCTTTATCCTTATACGAACAGATCGGTATATTTAATTCATTATCCCATCTTGAAAATCTTCAGTTTACGATTCACGAAGAAAAAATATTTATATATTTATATTTTTAAGATGTTTCATATACTAAAAGAAAAAGAATACTAGTCAAACAATTATTTATTTATAAAGTTACAAATATATATAAATGAAATTTATTTTATAAAATTTATACTGACAAAAAACAAACCGAAACATTGACGCAGGCATATTGTAATTTTTTCAAGTCTCCATTTTAGCATAAAAAACATATCTTACGAAAAAAAAAAATGTACAGGTTTCTGTCTAATACTTGGTGTCATAAATATGTCTTTTACGAGGAATATTATAAATACTTATAAGCACATGTTTATTTAAATTTAAAATATTAGCATAGTTCCTGCAGTTGTCGTATTTATTATTATTATGATTATTATGATTATTATTTTTTTTATTATTATTACTATAGCAAATAAAAATGTATACTTACAACCGATATTCTGTGGTATATTTTTTTAAAAACCACACAAGTCGTTGAAATTTTGCAATCTAGTCTTTTCGAAAGATTAATTTAAAATAATGCTTCCTCGGGATTAGTTGGTAGAAAACTATAAGACTTATTAAGTATAATGCGAAGATTAAAGTGATATGGGTTTGGGAAAGAGTTTATCTCTTAGAAGAAATGAAAACAGTACAAAATTGTTACAAGAAATTGAAAAAAAAAAGACAAAATTGGAAAGTTTTAGCATCTTACTAACACTGCCCTTTTAATCATAGTATTTCTAGTCTATTGGTTGTTGAAAAAATATACCATGGGATTTATTTATGATGTCTGCCTGTAATAAGTATGTGTAATTACCTCCAGGAAATGGCAGCATCTATATGGATATTCACAGGGGGTAGCTGGTTATAAATAAATGCCAAAAATTCACGTGATAAAAACATGTTTAATAATAAAATATAATGTCGTGTAGACGTAGTTTAGATATTCGATAATTATGGGAGCTACAACTATGATTTTACCAGAAATTTCATCTGGTGCTTCTGGAAGATCTACATTTTTGTGTACTATACAATAATTTAATATATAGATGTTCACAATTTTGGTTTAGTATTTAAAATACCGTTTAAAGAGAGTAATGTGTACCTGACGCAACCATGGTCTCTAGTGTTCTTCTTTTAGTAACCTCTTAAATTATTGATTGAAATACCACAAGTGGATTAAGGCTCAATTAGAATATATTAGATTATGTTATATTGTTTGGAGCGTGATAATGAGTAACGTAATTTTTTCTAAATAATGCAAAATGACCATGCCATAGTTGTCAAAACTTTAAACCTGGTTGAGTTGAGGATGCTGTACTTAAAGCTAGACATACAAATCGACAGACAGGATTCAAAGGTCAACTCAACTAAGGCCAGACAGCTAGACCAAGACGGATTTCAAGCATGGACATCGACAGGTGTCTATGATTCTTATTCAACTAAGAGGGATCAACGCTGAGGGCTCAAAGGTTGACCATCTACCGCTAGATGGATGCTGCCATTCTGTCATTTAAAGGTCAACTCAACTAAGGCCAGACAGCTAGACCAAGACGGATTTCAAGCATAAGCATATCGACAGGTGTCTATGATTCTTATTCAACTAAGAGGGCTCAAAGGGTAACTATCTACTGCTAGATAAATGCTGTCATTCTGTCCTTCGCCATATTCAATATAGTAATAACCCGCTATATGCCATTTTAATATGTTATTAATTCTAAAAATTAATATTAACACACATGGCCTTAACCATTACTCTACGAAGACTTTTAAAATGGTTATCAGTCTTTGGTCGGAATATTTTTACCGGTACAGACGATGTTATGTTATGTTGAGAATGGGGTGTTAATACATTGCGACCTAAAAGATCTATTGTGTCCCCTTCTGTCGCCAATGCACTAAGAAAGTATCTCAATGCCTATAACGACCCTTCCAATCCAATTTTCTCAAGAGAGTGTAGGATTTGAAGATAATATTGGCACTGTTTAATTATTAGAGGTCAGTCACTATTGGCGCCGCTCTTATTTTGACATCTGAGCATGCGCAGATCGTTTACGTTCTAGAACTGACTTTATAGATTAGGCCTGTCATTAATTATGGATGTTTAAGGGCAGCAGATAGTGTCGTCTTTATAACTTTTGTGTGCGCTCGCCGGTATTCGTATCAGTTCGAAGTTTTTAAATATTAAATATTTAATATCATTGTCATCTAAACCTTCTAAAATGGCAATTTCTAATACCTCTTCCATATTGTGTATTAATATAGACAGCAACAAAGACGAACTGTAATTTAAAATGAGGTTAGAAATATTTATAAGGACAAGTCCTCTAATGTCAAAACTACAGATTTGCAATAACTCTTATTTTGTTTGTCTCTAATTGTCACTATTAGTGGCTGACTTTACAGGCATTTGCAATATATCTCTACTATTGAAACTTCAGCTTCGAAGCCTTTACCAATGTGGTCCTACTTTTGTTATCTTTGTACTGTTAGAAGACCGATAGATACTGCTTTTGGGAAAAGAGTTATTAAAAAAGTGGAAAATAGTTGTAAAAGAAGAACTTACGTTTTACTCTGAAATACAGTGAATTGTTTAGTCAACAGATGATGGTAGAACATATTTGGAAGTTATCATATAGGTTTGAAATTAAAATCATTATTAGGTACATGATTGATGAGTAGTGTGAACATTATTGTTAAACTATTAAATACACAAATTCATAAAAAGTTATGACCTAAATATAAAATAATACATAGAAACAGATGTTGGTGGACCAGCTTACCTCTGTCATAAATTTGTTGGATATAATAAGAGAAAAAATGTTCGATTTTGTAATCAAGAGTGGCATATTAAGTACTTTTTATAAAAGCAGTTAATATGTTTTCAATTATTTTGATAACTATTTATTGTTATAAATATTTAGATAAAACTGAAACCGTAAAAATTCGTAGCACTAGCCGCTTGACGTCATACTAATTATAAAATAAGTCCACAAGAGAGTACATACGTTCATTGGAAGAAAGACTGCACTTTGCTGGTAAAAGTCTTTGGATATCTACCAAAAATCAACAAAACAAAATTTGTTGCAAGACCAAATTCATGTTATTCATTAACCTCAAAGTTTGTCTATTTTTAGGAACCTATCCCGGAATTAATTTATGAAAATCTTGTTTTGTGACAATTTGCCGACCATTTAGAAATTTTGTAGTAGATTTTTTTCGGAGACCGATCGAATCAGCAAGATGCATTCTTTCAATATAAAAGTAAATTTAATATGTGTCACGTTTGATATAATCAGATATTCATAATAATGCGTAGATATATGTGTTTTCTTTATCTAAAATTATAGTAACATGTTTGAAAATGGTAATAGAGTGAGTGTGCTCTGCCCTGTATATAGTTCAGATTTGTTTATCGAATGTTTGAATTCAAGATTCAGATTAGAATTTTTTAAATAATAAACTATGTATTAACTTTTCGATACGTTTTTAAATGACATGCCGATGAATATTAACGTAAATGGGACAAGTTTAGAATCAATTGCACAAAGTAATCTTAAAATGGCGCTTAATTTCTAAATCTTATTTACGATAATATTCATTAATGCGTGTTTCTTTAACAGTGTGATCATCTTTGCTTGGACCTGTCTTCGATTTGACAGACTGTCACGTTTTAGCCCGATTTGTTACTTGTGGATGTCCATTAAATCATTATACACATTTTAAATGTTTTATATTTATTATTTATTTATTTATCTAATTTAATTGTAAGAAAAAGTTACTTCTATGCAGACTGTCGTTAGAAATATAGTCTTAATCTAACTTTGTGGTGTTTTATTTCCCAAAATTACAGTCGCCTCCGAGAAGCTACCAGAAAAGGCAAAGAACAAAAAAACATACAGATAAGTATAATACAATATTTGCCAAAAGGCAGAGTTAAGTCCAATCCTTGCAAGCAAGGGTAAGTCATCTCTTCCACTCAACCTATTTAACTAAACTAATTAAAAATAATAATAATGATAATAATACGTTAGATAAAAATAAGCTCCACAGACAGCACACCAAATCCTTTGGATATCTGCTGGATATCCCAATATCCACTGAATGCCCAGTCCATGGTGGATATATATTTTATATCCATGAGATGTAATTTGTAGACATGCAAATGTCCATAAATAATAGTAATTATATAGCAAATTATTAAAAAATTACGCCATTATGGCTAATAGTACCGTTCATATATTTAAAATTAATTTTTTTTAAGGTGTATTCAATATCCCATGTATATCCACTAAATATATCAAAGTCTAGGCGCGAACGCAAACCATGATGTAATTTTTGATTTTGCACACTAAGAAGAAAGTCGTTCCTGGACCGGTTTCCTCCTTATTAAGACTTATTAGGACTAGAATTATTTCCATTTTTAAGAATAGCCCGCCTGGCTTTTATGCCTCCTAGTCTCTAAACTAGGTACTATAGCGACCTTTGATTTTGCTTACTAAGTATAGACAGCGATATCACTTTCGCTCGTTGAATATCTACCCATGCTCAACCCGCCGTAATTGAGTTCGATCGAAATTGGTATTGTAATCAGACTCCATTAGAGACTGGAGTCGAGAATTTCTATTTATTGTAGAAGAGTCCTAATAAGGACGAAACCAGTCCAAGAATGTCACATTTGAGTTTGGAATTATTTTCTTTTTTATCTATAGGATATATCCAATGGTTACTTATGAACCTCTACTAAAGATACCCATAAAATATTTTGCTGAATATCCATAGAATATCTTCTATATCCTGGATATAGACGGACATTTGGATATCCATATTAGATCCACTGGATATCTATAAAATATCTTGTGGATATATTGGATATCCACAAAATATATTCTGTGGATATCTCTGGGATTTCTTGTATTGTCTGTGAGATTAGATATTTTGCTGGATATCCATAGGATATCTTCTATATTATGGATGTAGACGGACTTTTGGATATCCATATTAGATCCACGGGATATTTCTGATATCCTGTGGATATATTAGATATCCACAAAAGATATTCTGTGAATATCTCTGGGATTTGGTGTGTTATCTGGGTCAGTGATTTGTAAAATTCAAAAGTGTAGATATTGAAAAAGGTCGGCTCAAGACAGAACCCTGGGGAACAAATATTGCGATACTATTTTGTCCACAACAACAGCTTGTTCCCTTCCCTGAAGATAGTTGCTCAACAGCCCAACTGCATTATCAGAGAAACCAATGTAATGAACAGTTCATGTTTTATTCTATCAAAAGCTTTGATAAAATCTAATAGTACTGTTAATTCATTACGATTAATAATTGCCCTAAGAATATCATCAGTAATGTTTAATAAAGCGGTAGTACTACTATGTTTAGGTCTAAATCCTGATTGCTGTTGAGGTATGATAGTATAATTATTAATGTGTGAACTTATTTGTAAATGAACAAATTTTTCGAAGCATTTCGCAAGAGCACATAATATACTAATAGGGCGAAGTGATTTATAATCTAACGGTTTACCAACTTTAGGCAGTGGATGGATTAGAGATTTTTTCCAGGTAGACGGAAAAATATTATGGGTAATGCAAGTATTAAAAATGTGACAAATATATTTTAAAATAAATGGACAAGCGTACAGTAACATGTTAAAAGATCTGGACCAACAGCTTTGAACTTAAACGATAATGGGGTCTATTCTGTAACAATTCCTTTATATTTAACGGCCTTTAAAAATATTTTCTTCTTTACTTCTGTCATTATTTAAACAGTTCTTTAAAATACATTAGAGGACTATCTTAAAGAAATCTGTTTAAATAATGACAGAAGTAAATTAACGAATACGAACATATTTTTATAGGCCGCCAATATTTTTAAAGGCCGTTAAATATAAAGGAATTGTTACAGAATAGACCCCAATATAGTTTTATAGATTTCTAGTTCGTTCGTTAATGAAAAATTAAAAGAAATAATATTAGGCAATATATTATTTTTGAAATACAGTTTTTGTTATATATCGTATTTTTACGGGATGGCTCACGTACATAAATTGATTTTTACTAGCACAATACCTTGTAGAATTAGATACCAACCTACATTAAAAACCTTTAGTTACGCTTTAAAACTTTACAAAGTCATTGAGGGCATAGGTATATCCAGACATTTTTATATACAAACAAACCAATTTATGGTTAAAAAATGATAATATAATTTATAGGAAATCCCTTCCATATCAACAACAACAAAAAAACACGTGTATTTGTTTACGGATGTGATCCAAATTCCATTTTAATGATTGCTTATTAGTCATTCTTATAAAGTATTAACATTTTTTTTTCCTGACTGATATCTATTGTCATCTTATATCTGCGTATACAAGTAATCCTTTCTTATTCCATAAATATTGTTATTTTTAATCCAACTAACTTCACACACAATTAAATATGGTAATCATAGCTGGCCGTGATGAACTGTGTGTGCGAGTAAAAGGAACACTTCTCATCTAGGGTGATGAAGAAAACCTACATTTTATCGTTATTTAAATTTTTAACAATTAATAAATAGCCAAAATACAGGGGTTTGTGAAAAATATATCCTTTTGATATAGATACATAGTTACAAAAAAATCAGCAAAAGTTAGTAAAAAAATTGTTTCCATACGAAAAAAAAACTAGTCATAGGAACATAAATAAACTTGTAATACTGTTGTTATAATTTCAAAATAATTCTTGATTTGACCCCTTGATTATCTCTCCAAATTTGTAAAAAAATAGCAATTCTTGGTTTTTGTAACTTTGTATAACTTTTTATTCTGCCTGTATGTGCTGTCCAAAGTATATATTTTTATTGATGTAATGCTCTACTTGTTTGGGACACATTATAAACAAAATATAGGGAATATTGTAAAATAGCGACACTCGCTGAACCAACCTCTTGGCTCACCCCGTTTGCGAGTAATTTTCTATAAGTGCCAGGGGCGGACTAATGTGTTTTAATTCAAATATATATTGTTCTGTGTTTTAATTTAAATATATGGTAAATGTTTATTCAACAGGTTGGTATCGTATTTTGGTGGATACAAATATCTTTTAAAATTTATAAATTTCAGTAAATTTACAGATGTTACGATTTATTTTTTAGGGGGTTCCCACTGATCGGGTGGCACAAAATTAATCGAAAAACATTTGATCGAATTGGAAATTTGATCGAAAATACATTTAATCGGATGGAATTTGATCGAAAATACATTTGGACGAATAACATTTGATCGAAGATATATTTTATCGAATAACATTTTATCGAAAAGACAATAGATCGAAAATTCATTAGATTGAAAGGACAATATATTGAAAACCAACATTAAAAATAGTAAAATATCAAAAAATCAAACGATACCATTCAACCGTCCGTCTAATCCCTACTACCAGGGAAACTAAGCGGCTATCAAAATTTTTATATAAAAATTTTAATTAATTTACCTAACCTGTGCTAACTGGAGCCGTCGCGGTTTGCCTCGCAAGAAATATAGAAAAATAGGAAAAATTCAAACAAAAATTTTAACTAATTTACCTAACCTGTGCGGCCTGGCGCAAAAAAAATATACAAAAAAAACTTACCTAATTTACCTAACCTGCGCTATTTAAATTTAACTGATTGCTCTCGCGTATGTTAGATAAGTTAGTTTAGTTTGTTTTAATATAAAAAATTTAATTAATTTACTTAACCTGTGCGGCCTGGATTCTACGTGGTTATCCTTGCAAAAATAATTATAGAAAAATAAGAAAACTGAAAACAAAAACTTTCAACTAGTTTAGCTAACCTGTGCTGCCTGGAGCCCTCGAGGGTGGCTTCGCAAAACAAAATTATACAAAAAGAGGGAAACATAAAGAAAACCTAACCTATTTACTTAACCTGTACAGCCTGGAGCAATTTAACTGATTACTCTGACCAGTGGCGGCTCATGGGCACTAGCGGCAGTGGGACATACACTGGAAAGGAATCCCGGGATTCGTTTTTCCCTTAGGAAAACAAGTTCTTCGCTTAATGAAAATTAAATATATTTCAAAACAATCAGTTGGGGCAATAACGATTTCTGAATGTGACTACAGGGAGCTAAATGTGACCACTCAAAATGCATTTAACTATGTGGCTATTTAATCAAAAAATCATTACATTTCTCAGAAGAATGCAATTTACTTGACAATTCTAACTTGTTAACGCATTTTAAAGCATACGACTCTGAAGAAAAGGTGTTTGGCAATTTAAAATCTCCCAGCGAAAAATTTCTCTTTTATATTTTCAAATTAGAAAAAATATTTATATCTCTATTTGACAGTTTGTCAACTAAGCCTGGAATTTCCAACGCATACCTTTTTGAGATGAGAAAAATAGAATTTGGTCATCCTTGCCAACAATTTGCGAAAATGTACACCATTAAATTATTTATAAGACTCAGAATTTTTTTATACTTTTAAATATGCAAACACAAATTTGAAATCCTCGAAAAAGTCAGACAAAACCAAAAGAAAAATTAAAATTTTGTCCTATTTATAAATATTATTGATTTTTTTTTCATCATATTTTTGACTGCTTTATAAAAAAAAGTTATTTTTCTTTGTAGTTTTATTTCTTAACTATTCCAATGGTCCAACTAACCTTTTTTCGTAATCACAATAAATAAATTATTATCATGGTACAACAATCGCCCACCTTAAGCCGAACCGGCATCGCCTTTGTGAGGGAGCCGATAAAGATGCCGCTGCGTACATTCGTATCTGGTCTAGGTAATCTGTGCCATGGGTACAGTACGTCACGATGAGGACAGCGCCCCGCATGTGACTTTAAATGTGTCTTTTTTAGCATGAATTAACGTTACCCCCCCCTTAACAATGTACAGATTTAATCTTGCAAAACATTGTTGTTTTTGGTAGAAAATAGTAAATTTGTGTCATCTGCATCTGATATCTCACATATTTCATAATGTAATAAAATTATTTTACATAGAAATATCAAGAAAATTGCATTTTTTCAAAATTAACCAAAAACATACAAGGTATCATTTAAAATCTTAGTGTGGTGGTGATTGGGGGCGGCAGGTGACCTTATGGGGCAGTATGATTATGAGATTCACTGTTTGTTGTCTCCCTATATCCTGAACAACCACCCAAAATTTAAAGTTTTTATTTTCAAAGAACAATTTAATATCAAATTTTCGCGTAGACACATGGTATAATAACGCGTGTATAAAAAACAATCCCAGCAAAATCCACACTGCCTCCAATCCTTTATTTCATTCAGTATTTTTCTCTACACCTTCCTTCACCTCTGCGATATACAGACCCAAACAGAATCACACTGTACAAAAAATATATAAATAACAGGTGGAAGATTAAACTTCACTATTATGAATGAATTCTCTAGAGTAAGGTGAAGAAAATCATTTCGAGTGATGTTTTCTACAAGCGTGTTTACGATTTTCGTGACTAGTGCGTTATGTTCTTCAGTGTCTTTTGCCGAACAGCCGAATATTATATTCATTGTTGCCGATGACCTCGTAAGTGTGCATTTGAATGCTTAATTGTAGTTATTAGATATTAATTGGGTCTGAAATGAAGTCATTTCGGATTTCCCGCGTCTCATAATTATTTTGTTCTTAAAATAAAATTAATTAATTAATAATATATTATCAATTAACTGCATGTACATTCTATTTTATTAATTTAAGTACTTATCAATGTACGAAAACATGCCCCGAAAATGGTTAAATCTTGTAAGAAATATGCATCTTGGTACAATTTAAATACAATTAAAGTTATTAAAGATAATGAAAATAACATTCTTTATGGAAAAAAATAAGTAAATAAATTTTAATTTTCAAATTATTGCGATGTCCATCCAAAAGTCTCATATTTTTATGTAAAATACGTAAAATGTTCAATTTGTAAAATTAAAGAGGAAAATGTTGACAATTATTTTTTAAATGTAACAACAATTTAATTACGAATATACAAGAAGTTTGCAAATTTTTTCAAAACTACTTTTTATCATCTTTTGACATGCCAATGAATAACAGTAAAAAGTTTTATTACTGGAAGCCGAAGAAATAATTTGTCAATAACAAGACGAACAGGCGTATCTCAAAATTATAAAATTTGAGTAATTACAGTATAATTTTTTTTTATTAATTTCAAGCTTGATTTTTTACCTTTAAAAAAATGCTTATACAATGTTAATAACATTAAATTTTGTATCGATACTGATAATAAACCCAAAATGCTACATTTTACCGGCGTTACCAGACCCACAAAAAGATCTGCAAACGTTTTCCTTTTTAATGGGCCTCTCTTGACCCCTTTATCATTTTAAACAGGAAGGGAAATTCCGAAAACGCCTTTTGATGGACTTAACTCAAATCCAGAAAGAAAAACCTCGAATACAATACATTATAAAATGTAAATGAGCAAACCCTAAGGAATTAACCAATTATTCTATACCTAAGTAATGGGGCACACGAAATTATTTTAATATAAAAAATTGTAAACTGTCAATATTAAGTACCCACATTTATTTTTATAAAAATAGTATAATAGATATTAGGTTATAATAAATATACACACAATCAAATTTACTAAAAGTTTATTCAAAGTAGGTATCTTTTTTTGTAAATAAAACGAATGCACTTTTCTTCGGATCAGTCAAAATTTTGTTTCAAATAAACTATACAGCAAAAAATTTCGGAGAAGAGGCTTGAATTATCGAAAAAAAAAGTACATTATTGGGAGACTAAAATTAATAAACTGGGACTTGAATTAATCCCCTACCCTACTCGTCAGATTTTGCCTCTTCGAGCTTTAGTTTATTTTAAATTTAAAAAAATATCACACTGACAAGAAATATGCATTCGATTTGAAAATTATTGCCGACACAAACAATAAAGAGCCTTGAATTTCGTTGGTCAAAATGTATTGAATGACAATGACATATCTCGTAAAATAAAACAGTTTTTTTATCCGCATTATGTTTTTCCTCTTAGGCTCGTAATTATTTATCCCATCCTCCTATTACTCGTACTAATACTTCACAGTAATTTTGTCTAAAGGACGGACAGGCAACACATTTTCATTTTACACAATCTGTTAATAAAAAACTGAAGAACAGATAAAGATTTTCACATCATTGTTTTCGATTTTCATGCTCATATTTTTCTAAATTAATTAAGTGTAACATTTATTGAATTAAACATAAAAATGTCGAAACATGTACCTAGTGATGTAAAAAATATTGAAACTGGCATCATAATAAACATTGTTTTCTTAAACTTGTTACAGTAATGTTACAGAGATTAATTACATTCTTTTTAAATATGAATAACGGGTGAATCACAGAAAAGTTTGAATCAATTAAATTCCTTTTTAAAATAGTATCGATCAGATAAATTTAGCATTAATACTAGACAGTTTATATTTTGACAAGATTTATTCCATATTTATTAGTTGGACGGTCAATTCATCGTAATCCGTTAAAGAGTAAAAAAAAAATAAAAAAATGCAAAAAACGTCTGTCAACAAACTACTTCTTCTTTTCAATTTTTGTAGGCGTCAGCTGCCAGAGCCATTCGGCCTTGTCAACAAACTAAAGAGTGCAGTATTCTGTCTTCAAGAATTTAAAAAAACCGAAAACATTTTTAGAATAAAGCCATTTGAAATTTCTTCTTTTTTCCATCTTGTTGAAGGTAGTCAGCTATTTTTCTTAAATAATCATATCTCCAGGCACTGATTTCGTCTTTCTCTGTTAAAAAACTGTTTCTGTCACGTTCTTATTCTTCTTTTTCTTTCTTTGTTTGGGCTATATCCTATAGGATAATTTACCCAGCTAACAACAGGGAGAGTATTGGTTCTTAGCAATTGGATACCCTTAATTAAATTAATATATATTTCAAAAAAAAAATTATTAGACTTAATGTTACGACTTGAGTTATATATATATATAGAGGGACATACAAAGTTAGTATTCGGACGTCACAGCACAGGATAAAAATTTTTCTCGCCAAGCTGAATACAACCAGAAAACTGCCAACAAGACTGAAAGAGAGGGTAAAATATTAAAGTTATAATTAAATTTTAAATATATTTAAATTTTTTATTAGAATGTTTTATCTGTTATCATTGAGGTTACCTAACATAAAACAAATGTCAAAGGAAGTAGAGAGCTTAGTTTTGTCAATTCAGAGTATAAATCAGTTTGCCTATTTATGATCCAATTTGACCACACTCACAATATGGGTCATCTTTTACTCCTATACGAAATAAGTAGTATGGGGATAGGCAATGTCATGTCCTCATCCTAATTATTGTAATTAATGTCTTCTGTCCTTATGGGGAAAATTTAAAAACCAAGGGATTTTATCAAATCGTGGAACGACTTTAGAATAAAAGGAATTCTTCCTATTCTTGTTTTTAATTTTTCAAGCCATCTTGAATTCACAATGTTTCTGATGATTGAAAAGAAATTATGATAATTTAATTTGATATTCACCGGAATATTTAGAGATCTTCCTATATTTGCCAATTGATCAGCCTTGAAATTACCCAGAATCCCAGAGTGACCTGGAATCCATGCCAGAATTATTTTGACATGTTCATCTTTTGCAAGTAAGATACAATCCTTTATCAAAAAGGAACAATGTTCAGTTTCTGGAAAAGAATTTGCTATTTTTTGAAGTGCAGCTTTGGAGTCTGAGAGGATAATGGATTGAGTGATGTTTTTGTCTAATATTAATTGGAAGGCCTTATTGATACCTACAACTTCAGCTGTACAAATTTGAGTATGGAAAGGAAGCTTACTTGAGAATGCATAATCTATATCTGGACTACACAATCCAAAACCCGGAGTGACCGGAGGAGTCTATTGAGCCATCAGTAGAGAACCTGGTGTAAGATGGATATTTCCTAATGATATTCTGATATTGTATAATTGCTTTACTTTCAGATTTGGTAGGGCCATTATTTGCAATAGGAATGGAGGCCAATTGAGGTTGCAAATCAAAGTTAAAACATGACAAAAGCTCAGAAGTATATAAGTGAGGATTCACATCATCCAATTGAATAATGAACTGGATTAGTAGAGGAGTATTTTTGTTGTTCCAGTAGGCAGAGATCCCACATAATATTTCTAGTTTTCTTAAAACAGTGATAATGGTATTGTTTACCAAAGCTTTATTTTTAATTAAGTAATAGCCATTACCTTCTAAGTCTAAAGGGGAGTTCACCAGTTTCAGTCAATAAATCTAGAATTGGGGTAGATTTCATACAAACTGTAATGATACGAAGGCTTTGGTTCTGAAGTGTATTTAACTTCTTTTGTATATCCTGGGAACACGGTATCATAATCTGACATCCATAATCCAAGTGAGATAAAATAATTGATTTGTGTTAAATTCGCAATATTTGTGGCTCACATTCCCACCAAGTCCCACGAAGGGCACGCATAACATTGGGGTTACAATTAATCTTAACATTTAAATCATTAAAGTAAGAATTTCATTTAAGATTCTTGTGATTCCTTATCCCCAGGTGTTTCAACTTTATCCTTCCACTGAATGATTTGAGACTGATAAATAATAGTAGGTAGAGTGAATTTAGTTACCCCTTTAGTGAAAAATACTGCCGAAGTTTTATGTAATGAAAGATTAAGGTTATGTTTTCCCAACCAGGACTCTAATTTAAACAAAAAGGAGTTGATACATGAAATCATATTGTAAACATTCGATCCATTAACTAGTATTACCAGATCTTCAGCATATTGAATTTATTTATAATTATTAGGCAAAATATCAAATAGAGACAAGGTATATACGTTAAACAAAATGGGGCTAAGCGGAGAACTTTGAGGAAGGCACTGATTAGTAGTTTGAGGGCCATGGATGTGACCCCAATTGTCTCTTTATGTTCACTAGGTCGTTTACGCTTACTTGTGCTTGCAATGTTTTCTAATGCACTCGCCATTTTTATATAACTGCAAAATTATAACATATACTAATATAAAATTCCGAATCAATTAAAATACTTACATAAAATAAATAAAGTCTGATTTATCTGTCAAAAGAAAAGGTTTATTAGAGTAAAAACCATGGAAATATGAATAAATGTAAACGAAAACTTTTATTAGGCCGACCAAATGTATTAAAATTTTCATTTTAACTACAAATAAGCATTAAATGATGAGGAATGAGTAAAATGTCTACCTCTTGAACCTGTATTACGTTTGAAAAATAAAATAGGTCACTCCTTTCTTATCTAGTTTATATATGATTTCTTTAGTGCTTTTGTGTCTTTTTGACTACCTATTGTTATTGTGTAAATTCGTTACTTAATTTTTTTGTATTTGTATTTCTCTCCAAAATACTTTCCTGAGTGTACCAATGCCATTATTACGTCATATTTAATTTTTTATTCGCAATTTTGTTAATTAAATAATTACCAATTATAATAAAATCGAATCTACCACGAAGAATAGATTTTATCAAATACCAAAAACCTTCAACACAAAGAATTGCTCTTCCTGCATCACCAGTTGCTCCATTGGCTGCTAGAGGAGCTATTTAAAACCCAAGCTAAACTTTTTTTATAGTAACAGTTTAACATAATTTATTTATGGGAAATACCAAATATTTTTCTTCAAATAAGATACATAATGTTTATGTTGAGAAGACCGTGACCCGTCTGCATATATAATTCTGTAAACGGAGGTACTTTTTTTATTAACATGAGAAGTTTAATTACAATAAGATAATAAAACGAAACTGTAATTATAATTAGTACATTTATATGTTCAATTATTTTTCATTAAAAGGGTAATAAATCCGATGTGAGGATCAAGATCAAGTAGGTTTCGCTGATTAGGCTTTGATAAAAGTTAAATGGACCTTAATTTATTGCTGTATTTATACTGAAAATTATACAGTTTTTATCTCCGTAATCATCTTTGTAGGTAATTCAATGTAAAAAAGTTCTACAACAATGTGTTACAAATTATTTTGTTTCCTTAAAAAGTATTAATTAGTTTTTAATTACGAATGATAATGAAATGTGTAGGTACAAAAGATTCAACTAAACACAACAAAGTTACAATATGAATAAATAATAAAACAATTAAAATTGAGTAAACGATAATATCTCAGAAGATCATGGCGCAGCTTTTACTGCTCTGACGTTTTTGGGATATAATCTATCACTTGTCATATATCCGGTTAAAAACTCTCTACCATGCGCAGGCAACCTATATTTCGTACACAAATACAAATTTTTGCTTACATTTTATCGAAGTAGTTTTTGTAATACATTCACAGCTTAAAAACGGAAAATTTGTTATTTTGATAGTGAATGTAGATCAAAAATACCCCAAATACACTTCAGTGTGTGTCCATGGGTGCTGCTAAGGTAGTTGCCCGCCTCTGGTAAAGAACCTATCATTTTATTTAGATTCTATGATTTATAAAAATCAAGCCCATAATTTGTCGAAATTTTGTTCAATTTTTAAATATTTATTACCAATTTATGCAATCATATCGATGTATTTTGAAAAAATAAAAGTAAAAATACAGCGAAAGAAACAAAGGTAAAACACTATAACCGTTTTTGAAAAAGAAAAAAGTTTTTCGTTTCATTAGATATTAATTTATTTGTGAGCCAGTTTTGTTATTCCTATCGTGAAAAATGGAGAAAAATTATTTCATATACTTTATAGGACTAGGCTAAATGCTAATAGAGTGTATCAGTTGTAAAAAACTTCTATTCGTCCTAACTGCTAGACAGTTTTTTTGAGAACGGATATCACAAATCTTGTAAAAGTCTAAAATAATAAAAAAAAACTGCAGAATTATTTGGCTTAACTTGTTTGTTAATAAATTCATAGAATTTCCGAATAAAAAACTTTGACGTTGATTATCTATTATTGTACTAATAAATTTGTTTTATCGGTGCTTAATAATACGTTAAACAAGAATTAAGGCCATTTTTTGTAAATTAATTTACAACTAAGTATACAGGGTGGACCGAATTTAATTTGTATATATATAGGGTGCTTATTAAGTACTTGTACAAACTTTAAATGGTGAATTTTTGACTAATTTTAAGTCATATAATCACGTGTCCTAAACCTCTTAACTTTTGAAATATTGTCAAGCATTCCCATAACATTTTTCTACTGCTTTTAATTCAACCGTTTCATTGTCCAAAATTGATAAATAATATCTAATGAGTGTCGATATACTTTAAAATGTATAAGCACACTTGATAAATAAAATTAGAAAAGTTCAAATTTTGTATATAACAAAATTTTATTCATACTTTGTCTTTTTTTGTTGTTTTTTCAATAAATTGATTATTTTTAAAGTATTCTAGCTGAGAGGATAGATCATAGAAATAGTATGGATTAGATGGATTAGGTATTAGTTCAATTTAAGTGATCTTATTGTAATAAACATGTTTTTCTACTGTTTTTTTTTTTAATTTATAATAAATGTTGATTTTTGAAACTTTAACTTTACACTTATTTGTGTATTTTCCAACATTGCACCCATTGTATCGACTTTTTCCGTTAGTGTAAATTGGTATAACAAGTACTTATTTCTTTCACTTTGCTCTATTCTGGACCACTTCAATCTCAATTTCCTTTCCGGACTTAAGTGAATAAATAGTTACACAATACCGAAAAAATCGTGTTTTTTTAACTCCTACAAACACACAAGAATGTAGGGGTTGTATTCATTTATCAGAGTAATTCTGTTAAGCTACAGTTGGAGAAAAGTATTCTGGATACATTTTTAACATGTACTAGAATTTAATTTACTATTTAATTTATCCAGTTAGTTATTAACCTCACTGCATACGGTTGTTGTTTAGCTGAATCTCATTTTTATTCTATTAGCAAACTTAATGTTATTCGAACAACTTCTACTTCGTTCTAATTTATTTGTACCAATCTGAAATGTAAAGACTTTCCGATACATCTATATGGAAATACTTATTTACATTAAACGTACGTACCTACCTACCTACCTGTAACCTGTAAATAGGTGCTTTATTCCTATTTACATTTACAGGAAGACAACCTACCTTATTTATTTTGAAAGATTGTAGATACTGTTGAATTTATAGCTGAATTGTAAATCCTATAGCGGTATATACCAAACAGAATAGAATCAAAGAGAATGTATAGGGTAATTCAAACTTATTGGCAAACAAGTAGTGGTGCTTAGCGTAACGGTAAATGGTTCATTATAGTAAGGGGTTATTATCGTCAGCTCATAGATATATCTACAGGAAATGTCCTCTAGTATCAAATAATGTATACGAGATATTCTAAAAGTATAACTTTTTTTTTAAATATGAAAAATAACTATGTATAGTTAGTAGATAACGACACTGTTTTGTTTATTATTTTTGCACAAGTATCTTGTACAAAAAAAGAAAAATATAATTGTTTAGTCACAGTACTAATTTATTTAGATAGGTACACCTACACAAGTTGTAAAAAATATAAATTAATTCAGTGAGATACGCCATTCCACAAAGTACAGAACCATTTGGTAATTTTAAATACCATTGACGATTTTATAATTTTTCTGATATTATATTATACTGCTTAGATACAGATTGACCTAAACTACAAATTAGTAGAAATTTTAAGTACCTAAATTCATATTTTGTTGTAGGGTTGGAATGATGTAGGATTCCATGGAAGCAATCAAATTCCCACACCTAATATAGATGCTTTGGCTTATAATGGTATAATTTTAAACAGTCATTATGTTCATTCTACTAGCACTCCAACCAGAACTGCTCTACTCACAGGAAAATACCCCATGCGTCTTGGTAAGAGCAATTAAGAATTCAAATCAAAATAAATTAAATTTTTTTATGAAATTTTGGTTAAAAAAATAATATTGCAACTATTTTTAAAAATGTCATTTTGTTGTTTGTATTTCACAAAGAATATTCCAATTTGAGCAATTCGGCAATTTGAAAAGTACGCTATATTGGAATGAAAAATTTATAAATTCTCATCCACTGTTACACCAAGAACTTAATACCATTTTTCAGAGGCGACTCGTGACATAGTCTACGAGGAGGCTACGGAGGTTAATTTTGAAAGGCACGCCATATATAGTTAATACAAAATATATATTTCTATTAGAATACAAGAAGCAAAAATCTTACATTGCATTATAATAGAATATATATTTGTTTAAATATATATTCAAAAGTAGCTTCCTTATAGACTTGGCCACGAGCCGTGCTTGCTATTTTTGTGACTTAATATGCACTATGTAATTATTTAATTTCAAGGTTTGCAAGGATCTTCATTCTTACCAGCAGATAAGAGATCTTTACCAGATGGAAAACTCTTACCAGAATATTTTAAAGTAAGTAGGTACAATTATTATTTTTTCGATGACCAATATATACACAAAACTGCATTTATTTAATTCATACTAATGTAGAGGTTATTGATATTTTATGGTTTCTATGTCTGTTCAATTAGAGGAGGTTTCTTTGAACATTGAACAAAAATGTTTCGCGCTACACCACAGTTATAAAAGTTTGTAGTGGATGAGTACATATATTTTTACTTGTTATATTGAAAAACAGATTTATATAACTGAAAAATTTTTAAAATTGGTATTCATATTCACTACACAAACGTTTTTCAATTACTTGCCTTGTCATTTGATCTTTGACAGGTACCCTGTCACTTACCTTTTTACAACTCACACTAGGTTCTCTTACGGCAAATAGATATTTAGAATCATTTTTTAATTATTCACTCTTTATATATCTCATTTTTTATAGGAATTGGGTTATGCAACGTACCTAGTTGGAAAATGGCACTTGGGATACTCAAAATGGAACGATACACCACAATTCAAAGGTTTCGACCATCATTTTGGATTTTATAATAGCTTCACTAGTTATTACGACTATTTGACGATATGGAAAGTGAGTATTAGTCTGATTCATTTGGATTTTCCCACAACTTTGTAGAAGAAATTAAATACCATGGCCCTAAACTTAGCTATCTAAACTTAAACTTATTCTTATAATTTAATTTTATCTCAGTTTAATGGAAAGGACTATACAGGATTCGATTTAAGAAACGACGGCAAACCAGCCCTTTCGGAAAGCGGGAAATATGCTACCGACGTATTTACAGACCACACCGTTAAAACCATTATGGAACAAGACCCATCCAAACCTTTTCTTATCATGCTAGCTCACTTAGCAGTCCATGCTGGCAACGATGGCAAACTTTTGGAAGCACCGCAAGAAGCTGTGGACAAATTTGGTCATATAGTCGATTCTAATAGAAGAACTTACGCAGGTATTGCAAAATTAGTTCGTATTTGATTAATAATTCTTAGTTTGCTTCTTAGTTTTTTTTTTTCTCTTCTCTCACCGCTATTCTCCCAATTCTTTTATTTTGTCATCCGTGTTTTTTCGTGGTCTTCCCACCTCTCTTAATACCATATTTCTAAATTCAGCAATGGTCTCAAAACTTGACGACAGCCTCGGAGCCATCGTCGAAGCCTTGGACAGCAAGAACATTCTCCAAAACACAGTAATAGCCTTTATCAGCGACAATGGTGCTCCAACCGTGGCTCCAACGTTCAGGAATTGGGGCAGCAATGCTCCCTTGAGGGGTGTAAAGAACACTTTATTCGAAGGAGGTATCCGTAGCGTCGGTTTCATATACAGTCCTTTGCTGGTACAATCTGCACGGGTTTCTACGGATTTGATCCACGTTACTGACTGGTTGCCTACTCTGTTTTCTGCTGCCGGGGGCGATATTGGGATTTTGGATCCCGACTTGGACGGGATAGATCAATGGTCGAGTTTGGTAAGTGTTATATGGCTAGATTTAAAGTACTTAGTCCTGGAAGTAGTTGTTGAGTCTTGGTATCCGGTTGTATCTTCGCCCGACTAATAATCGGGTAGGTATTCTAAAGGTATGTGATCTTATCACCCTGTTATTCAGTACCTATATGTATAACTATTGAACGTACAAGTTGAACATTTCTGGCATAAACAATAATAATTAATTATAAATTATTTTTATCTATGCACATAGGGTATACTAAACTGTTTACAGATTTCCGTTACCTTAAAAATAAAAAAAAAATCACCCTCCCAGAGGGTATTTGTGTGTACACACTGGGTAATAGAAGAAAATGAAAGATTTTGTATTTTGAGTGTGTAGAGGACAATTTTTTTAAAAGAATTCTACTTTTTTAAAAATAAATCTAGTTCTTTTGCCGATTAAAGCATCTTAAGGACTCTACAAAGATGAAGAGCTAACTTTCAAACGCGAGCTAGTTGATATTTTTTGAAATAAGGTTTTGCGCGTGTTGGCATGTTTCATCTTAATGTTATTTAATTTTAAAATCAAAAACGTTCATTTACGAACGAGTCCCATTGTTTTAGCCTTCAAAATATTGAGGTTTTGATCAAAGACGAACATGTCCACTGCTACTATGGTAACAAAAGAGTATTATGAGCTATTTAGAGAAGTTGGAGCCGTAAAGCAGTTGGGAACAGATTGGACACTGAAACACACCAAAAGTATCTCTACATATCTAAAGAACATAGAGAATATAAGCAATAAGAAAAGAATTTACTTAAGAAGAATCACAACAAAGTCTAGAAAAACTAATATTACAGTCAAAGCAAGTGAAAATTTCAGTGTCGAGCATGAATATGAAAAATACATTTCACTTCTGAAGTGGGGTCGTCAGTGGGATCTGATTCTTTTGTATTGGAAGACAAGCAGTTGGGTCACATGATTTTGGATGTAAAGAAAAAAGATAAATAATTTACTGACAGCTTTATATGCCGAATGTAGAGAAATAGATAACATTCATATATCTGTATGCTAATATCGGCTATTGTTCTTTCGTTCAAAATCAAATAATTTTTCGTTTTTTTAACGCTAACCTTATGGGTCTTTGTTTCTATAAGGTGGGAACCACCAGTTTAACGACTCTCAAATTTTATCTTAAATTTGACTACTGTTCGCTTTCACATTTCAGCTAAACAAGGTCGTACTATGTTATACTGGGTACTTTCGAATATGGAGTTACTTTTATGTGAAATACATGTTGTATCCAACACTCTGTAACGAGACACCCTTGTATACATTAAAATAATTTTTAAACGTGTAATTTATGCGTTTTTCTTGTATCTCTGAAGAAAATGGAAATTTTGAACTTTGTAAGAGGTTTGGGACATCCTGTATATGTTTATTAGTGGAAATTTATTAATTTTAGTATTTAAACTTATGAATGAAATATAACCATGCAATTAGATATGGAAACCTCAATTACTAAAACATTTCGAGATTTACAAGTTCATGTGAATAACATGTGAATCGATTACTAGTTTTTTATATTATGATTATAGGAAACAATTATCTAATAATACACATTAATGATTTATTATGCATAAAATCAGTTTAATTATTTAATTCAAGGTTTACGATTTGCCGTCTCCAAGAAATGACATTTTATTGAACATTGACGAAAAAACTCGAAATGCTGCATTGAGATTTTACAATTGGAAGCTAATCATAGGTAAGTTAGACAATAAAAATTCTTAAGTCCTTAATGGATAGGGAAACTTTAATATCCTATTGGATAATAATTTTGTTTCATTACATCATTATACAGTGCGATATAGAATATTAAGTTTAAAGTCATACGAGGAAATTAATTACAAAATATCACATTTTAAACTGAATCTATTCTGTTAACTTGATATATTGTTAACTTAATACTTTGTTAAATTGATACTTTACTTTGTTAACTTGATACTTAGTTAACTTGTTAGTTTGTTAATTTAATACTTTGTTAACTATATACTTTATTAACTTGAACACTTTGTTGACCTGTTACTTTGTTAACTTGATACTTTGTTAACTTGATAGTTTGTTAATTAGATACTTTGTTGACTTGAATACTTTGTTAACTTGATACTTTGGAGGCAAAACATATATTCAAAGGTATACTGCAAATATAGCTCGTCAAAATGGAAATATATAATTGTTAAAATCAATTTATATTGGTTTGGAATCGGTGTTTTTCAAATGTACAAATTTACAATGTGTACTATGTCTCGATGGTAGGAACCATCGTGTAACCTATCAAATTCAAGGTAACGATGCTTATCAATGGATTTTTTCAATGAAATATGCTTTTAGACCTCTATAACAATAACAAATTCCTTTGCAAGTATTTCCTGTCGTCCGGTGCATTTATTTATGTAATTATCCATATAACCAATATCAAAAGTTGTATTCAGTAAATAATATCAAGAATTATTAAAATGTGACAGCTCAATATTTTCATAGTTACAGTACAAAATCAATGACAAAATATGACAAGTTTACCTACTAGATTTTATCGAATTAATGTACCAAGCAGGGACGGCCACTGAACCATATCTTCTTGTTCTAATCGACGACTAGTTGTTGCCATGTTGCCATTCTATTAACTTATATACTAGTCGTATGCCTAACACGAAAAAATAAGTACTGTATATCACATACTATTACCCGATTTAAATGTACTTGGTCGTCTGTAATTAGATCCTATCATTTCTAGGTGGAGTTCAGAACGAAACCCTAAGCGGTTACTACGGCGACGTAGTATCAGAAAACAACGAAGATCAGTCCTACAATTTAAACGGAGTCCTCGAGAGTCCTGCTGGCAAAGTGGCGAATAAAATTAACTACAGTCCTTTGAGTCCTGACGAATACGAACTTATACGGTCTAAGGCTACAATAAATTGTCTTGATGGTAAAGCCAAAAGAAATCCTTGTGATCCTGTTGGTAAGGATAATTTGATTCCTGATGATCGTTCAACATAACATCATTTTATTCATTCTAGGAGGTTCTTACTGCTTGTACGACATTCCCAGCGATCCATGCGAAGAAAATGATCTAGCGAAATTTTTCCCCAGCGTCGTAAGGCAAATGAAGAGGGCGTTAGTAAACTACAGATCGAGCCTTACGAACCAGCTAGAAGAAGAAACTGATATAGACAAAGCGGAACCGAAAAATTTCGGCTACGTCTGGAATCCCTGGATTGAATGTACAAAACCAGACTGTTCGTCTCCTTTAGAAAATAACTAAATGTAACCAACTGATTCATTCGATTTTATTTTTGTGTAATCTAGCTTTATTATAATTTCTGAATATAGACGAGTTTGTACAAAAAAATATCAAGAATGATGCAGGGTGATTCTAAAAACCACGGATGCTTCAAAATTAATTAATGGTGCTTTAAAGTGGGCATTTTTTTATTTATCAAAAACTGAATTATTTTGTGTCAAACTTTGTATGTGTCATAAAACGTGGGTCACAACATTATCAGTTTTTCATTTTTTTTTTATTGAGTGCATCACTTACTCCCATACCTATATGTTATTTTTAACCTAACTCTTTTTTCAGTGTAAGATTGTATCGTAATAGTCTTGTTACGAGTTCCCGCTTTCATCTCTTTACAAAATCCTTCTTTTTCTTAACTCATGTTTAAATCATAGATATCAGACTTGATAATCTTATCTACCCCCATATCCTCGTTCATCGTATTCGTATTTAAATAATGTGAATCACCCTGTATAATTGTCAATTTAAATACCAGAATAGATAAGTAGAGTTTTTAGAGAGAGATTTAACAAAAACAAAATTGCATGAATCTACATTAGTTGTAAGCATTAGATTTACCAACTATTATAATATTAAAAAAATATGTTGATAAAATTATAAAAGTATTATTAGTGTACAATAATTTTTGAGACGATGATTCTAAAAGAATTTTGATTCAATAATATATGACATGTATTTGGTCAGAAATTGAAATTTTGTAGGTCTTATGACTATTAGACAGAGTAAGCCACTCAAAAGAGTCCACCATGCATGTTATTTGGCAGTATTCATTGAATTTTGAGAAAATTCTGAAACAAGTTAATTTTTATTCCAATATGGACATATTTTATCTGTCATATGGCAACACCCTCCCTTCCACTTCTCCAACCCCATAATTTTAAGTAGGGAAAACAATGTGAGGCACATTATTAGAAAGGTATTGCGACAGGCATATCTATGACTTTTTTCGATATTAAAAATTTAATTAAAGTGTATTCCCTCTATAAAATTAAACGCAATGCCTATGTTTAGCTAATAAATTTAACTTTCGAGTTCATACCGGAAAAAAATCATAGATAGATAATCATATGTCTGACTAGTCCAATACTTTTTAAATGATGTGCCACACATGGTACCCCTATTTAAAATTGAGGAGTTGAAGGAGTGGAAGAGAGGGAGTTGACATATGATACGACGTCTATATTATAAAAATGTGTTCCCTTTGGAAAAAATCGACCTGTTTCAAAATTTTTTTAAAATACCATGAATACTGCCAAATTACAGGGTGGACCGTATAAGTATTTTAGATTTGTAGTTGTTTTTTATAGATTTCAACAATAAAGTTCCTAAATTTAATTAATATCGTGCAAATTATGTATTCTTTAGAGCCTATTATTTTCAGAAACATCTTATTATACAGAGTGCAACAAAAAGGTAGGTTAAAAGTTTGAAGATTAAGGGGCGATAGGCATAATTCTGCATCTGCTACGGAAGTACATGTCCTCTGGTGTTAATTAAGGGCACATCGATTGCTCAGAAAGTTTTAGGTGTCCCATATGTTCAAGGCATCCTTGAGGCCCTACTCCAACAAGATAACCCTCGCCCTCATGTTACCACTATTTCAGTTGAATGTCTCGCACAAGCTAATGTTACTACCTTACCCTGGCCTCCTCTGTCTCCAAATTAATTCCTCACAGAACATATGTAGGACATGGTAAGAAAGAAACTACATAATCTTCCCGGTGGGCACATGACGCAAGAAATTTAGTTGATATGAGATGCCCTGTATTAGGAGAAAATTGAAAATCTCATCCACAGCAGTAGCTAAATGTGAAAATTTACGAGGAAACCAATTATTGTGTGTTGTACTATTAAATATTATTTTGATGGTGTCCGAATTTTTTTAATAATCAGTATAATATAATTGTGGGTACATATCATGGATGACGGATAGTAAATATATCCTAACCTTTTAAATATAATTTCCCTACAAACATTTAGGGAAGTGTCCTATATTAAATTGTGAATATTAATATTTATACCTAGATATTTATTTTTAACAAACTATTTAAATAATTTTAAAGTAAATACAATATTTTTAGTTTTTTTGGTTCATATAAATATTTGATTAGATAATTCATGTGACATAAGCTTATTAGATCGTTAATTTTATTAACTTTGCATGATTCGATCACATCGCGACCCGGGTTCAATCCCCCTCGATGGAAGCAATCTATTTTATTTTGGAAAAATGTGACAATTTAAAAATACAACTATTGTTATTTATTTATCTACAGTTAATCTTTTCACTATTTATTTTATACCATTTTGATTAATATTCATTCACAAAAAAGAGTAAGTAGGTAATCATTTTTCATAATAAAAAGATTCTTATTCGCGGTTGTTCATCTTATTATTTGTTGTATTAAAAAAAAAATGACCTAATGAAAAACATTATTGTATTCTAATATTTTTTATATCTAATGTTATTTTACCGTTATTACCCTAGGAAAGTGTTTGTAAATAAAATAATGTTTTTAATTTCGACTAAACACAATAGGAAAAGCAATTATTCAATAAGGACTGTAAAAAAACGAATATAAAAACAGCCACATTTTGATTAAACCTTTAGATTTCCTGTCTTTACATTTTTTTGATAAAATTATATTGTGTTTGTAGGAAAAATATTGTACATCACTTGTGTAAAAGTGAGTTTTCACACTTTTAATACTACTCGTATAACCACTTAAATGCTATATAATAAAAACAAACTTTTCTATTGCGAATGCAGAATAACTAATTTATTCCTGCAAATAGTACATAATTGGATATTCCCGGAATCTTAATTGGATTGTGAAGAAGTAGGTATACAGGGTGTTTTTAGCTTTTTGAATCAGGACTTTAACATTCGATCGAACTTAAAAAATTACCTAATAAATTTTAAACATAGGCCAGCAAAAGCTTAGTTTCAGATGATCAAATTATATTTTAACATACATTTTTTTTTATATATGTGCATTAAAAGTTAGTTTATGGAATTTCTTTGGTCTGAGAAAGTTTATTATTGATTCCGTTTCACTGTAGTCACTAGAAGACGCTCAGTATTGTTACGTATTGGAGAATATTAATGTGAATATTTCTAACTGGGAAAACAAATTAAAAAGAAAACAATAATTTGTATATACAGGGTGTTACAGCTTTTAGTTAACAGATAATGCCCTGTATGTCGGAAACGAGTAACATTTTACTTCAGCATGTTTAGTTTAATCGTCTTATTTTTAATCGGACAATCTTCAATTTTTCTGCGTCCCATTTTTAATGAAACACCCTCTGTATACGTATTAGAACTGAGTATAACATGCTATAATCCCCTGTATAAACCAAAGTTATTCAATACAACCCACTGAAATTAGAGAAATGGTGGAAAATATTTCCTGGAAAATCTTTCCTTCATCTAAATTACTTTGAATTCAGTCAAGAATTACCTGGCTTCGTCAAATCGGCGAATGATACGTAGGCAAAAGAGGGTTTTGATAACCGAATGAAAACATATTTTTAGGATTTAGGTAAGTATTTACATTTATCAAGAAAAATCTAAAGATGTTCGACAGTCGTTTGGCAAATCTGATATAATGATTTGTCGAGATATCAATTTACATCATCATTTACTTCATTATTATTAAAATTCTTGAAAATTAGAAGAAAGAGTAGGTATAGTGAAAAGGAAAGTAATTTAATTTCAATAGAAAATATAATGGAAGCCATACACGTTCCGATATAGTCTGCAGTAGTGTTGGAAAAATTTCAAGCAGTCAAGAGTTCTTGTCTTGTTCTTGTCTTGATTTCAAGAAAAAATCAAGACAAGAGTCTGATTTTGGAAATCAAGACAAGACAAGAGTCAATCATCAGGCATCAAGAAATTTTGTCAAGAATCAAGAAGTCTTGATTCTTAAAAAAGTTAACTTTTTGTAAATAAAATCTCAGTTTATTAAAATTTTAGCAGAAGTGTAAGAATAAGAACATTTAACACAAGATTTTAATTGAAAAAAAATATATAATGAAAATAGAACCTGTTTATTAGTCAAAATACTTTTTAAATAATAAATTATTCAGCCAAGAATTCAGACACAACTGACTTCTACTTGACTGGTTAGTCAAACGATTCCTATGTTTGGTAATCACAAGGGCTGCCTTTGAAAAAAGTCCTCGTATTCATTTTCAATAATTTATAAATAAAAAAACCGCCACGAAAATGTATCAAAAATGTATCTAGCACGTGCCCGTTACGCAATTAAACTCAAACTGTCTATACCTAATACCTAATAAATATTTATGAAGCAACATCCTTTATGGACCTGGCAAAAATGATTCACTTTTATGTCAAAATTAGAAAAAGTATATTATGCCAATGAGTGACCAAAAATAATAAAACAAGTAAGTACTATGTTCTTTAATACATGGTGTCCCCAAACGTAAACCCCAGATATTATAGACTACATTTTATGTCGACTTAACGTAATTAGAAAATGCTTCATACCTTAAATATGACAGTAACTCAAAAGTTTAAACTTTGCACATTGACTAAGCTTCTAATGATCACAAGGGGTTGAAATGGGGTCAGTAGACATTTTAAATGATAATTTTTTAGCTTAAATTTTTAACATTTTTATACTGTCGAAACAAAATTTCACAGAAGTCAATAATTAGGCATTCCAACGACCTGTCAAACAATAGGTGCCAGTGGGAAGTTCTCGTATATCTAAGGGGGTAGCGACATAGTCTTGCATCTTGGGCGCTATTTTTATTCGAAATAGTAATCATCAAGCCGCCAATTTATGAAGAAATTTATAAGCGGGTTTTTCAAATATTATTTTTATTCTGTTTGACATAAAATATTTAAATGTAATCCATTATTCATGATTTTACATTTAGTAGATAGAATACATCGTATGTCGCAGCCCTTAGATATACCAAACCTTTCCACTGGCAATTCATTTATTTGGAATGCCTAATTGTTGAAAAAATAGACTTTAGGGTGCCAACTAGGTTAAATCGACAGAAAATCAAGTCTAATATCTGGGGTTTCCACTTGGCAGGCGAGTTCTGAAACAAAGGAATGAATAGTAATGCATCAGAAACTCCAATATTGCTTTTCACAATTAAATATAATTATATACCCCTTTGTATTACTACCAAACATCACAGGATTTAATTTACAGATAGTTAATATTTCTAAACACATTAATGCATACTTAAATCAGCAAAACATACTAAAATGAAAGTTATTATGTTATGTCTACAGCTATAATAATTATGGTTTAATTATTACTGGTTTTCATGAAGAAGGTGAATTGTAGCTACAGGTCCAATATATAGGGGTAAAGTTCGATTATAATAAGAACACACAAATATACAGGGTGTCCCGAAATTAGACGGTCGTATTTTAACAGCGTAATCTACATCCTAAAATAGGAATAAAAGTTCATATAGACATAGGTCCGAAAACGTTTCGTTTTCGAGATACATGGTGTTACAAGTAAATTCCTGATGGCACATTTTTGTAAATATTTTCTAAAATTTCTTTAGTCACCAGTTTTCCAAAGTAAAAAAAAATTAAAATTTCTGATTTCACAGACCTATTAATTATTGTTTACACTTTCGAATAAGATAACATTAACTTATCATGAAATTTTCAAATGCTTTTTTCTTGAAAATGGTGCGTCCTAGCGAGATGCAACAAAAGTAGCTCTATTATAAAGAAAACATTGGTTTTCCAAATTTTATAGTCAAAAATGTTAAAAACATCGGGTACACCCTTTATATATTAAGTGGCCCTTTACGCCTTCGTAGATATGCCATCCCCGGCAGCACAGCGGAATTCGCAGTCTACATTCAAGTGAAATCTAAAGACTTATCTTAATTTAAAAGTTCAATATCTCCCAAAAAGCGGTTAGGACGAAACAAAATATTCCTTTGTGCTTCGTGTAATTGAGAATACATATTTGTAACATTTCATTGAACTTATTTATTACACCCCCATTACTCCCACTGTTTGTTATTCTCGAACTTTGCGCGCGTCTCGATCTCTTCAGCGTTTAATTTCGAATTTTCCTTCACTTTTCTCGGGATTTGCTTTGTCGGTGTATCGGTGATATTTCTTTTTCTTTTTTCGTGAACGTTTTACTAAATAATAAGGTGAGTAATGTAGTTTACTATTTTAATTGGATGTTTTATAATATAAATTGCTGCTTTAAAATTTTGCTGCAGATATTTTAGATTAAAATGATATAGGGTTATTCATTATAAATTAACAACCCATTATCACTGTTATTACATAAACAACAAAATATTTTTAATAAAAGTTTTATGGTTATGACTAAATTTTATTGAATTACAATCAAACACACGGTGATTTGCAGATTTCACGGGATACAATCAAAAATTAAATATTTTTAAATGGAAGATCCTATATATTATAAAAAATTTGAAATAACTTATTTATCCTTATTTTAAAAATATCCATAAATTACCTGTATTTTATATTATTTTTGAGTTATTAAACGTCGAATTTTTGCACTTCTTATTACTCGCATTAAATTCAGTCATAGCCAAAAGGTTTTTCTTACACAAACAAAAAATTATTCTCGTGTTCAAAAATTATTAAAAAATTCATTTAACATACTCATCACATAAGTTGCTGATAGACAAATTTTGAAAAAATTTGGTAAAAATTTTTTTATTCAAAAATTTAGGTAAGTAAAAAAGATTTTGTTCAAAATTGTTCCATGCCTTTGTTATACTTAGAGAATTTTAATAAAATTTTTGAATCTACAGTTTTTTAATTTCCTATCTGTATACAGATAAGGAAACTATAGGAATCATGATTTTTTTCGACCACGAGTTTTCGACGGTTTTTTACGTTTTGGGGTCCCCTGAATCCGTTTTGACTATTTTCGCGATGATGTCTACGTCTGTGTATGTGTGTCTGTGTGTGTATTCTATACAGTATCGACTATTGAACACTTTCTAATACGCTTTGCTTATGTTGAAGAAAGTTAACATTAGCGCAAGCAGGAAACAAATAATATCACCGTTCAGTGTACACTGTTTGATGTGAATAGGCCCAAAGCGCAAAATATTTCCATACGTCGATATTATTCGTTTCCTGCTAATGTAGTTTTAATTTTAATATTATTTTAGCAAATATTTACCCGTAAAATTTAACTACAAATCAACCATTCATAATTTAAATAAATTGAAACCTATTATGAAACTGGTTTCGAAAAATTCATTGAGTATATGTATATCACCAGTTACCCAATAAACATAAAACAAATAAAAATAAACTTTTTTTGGTTTTAAAATCAATAATATACATTATTATTGAAAGTTTGTGTCAAAGAAGTGCAGGTTGACTTATAAAAATAGAATTTGGTTAAACTTAAAAACTAGTAATAATGTTGTTTTTGTCCTTTTTTCCATTCTAAATCAGCAGAAAATAATTAAAACACAATACACGAAAAAGTAATCCACTTTCTTGAAATTTCAATTTTAGCAAACAATATGGACAAACTACAATAATTGTTGAGAATAAATGAATATTAATCTACATAAAATTAGGCATTTCGCAACTGGTTTCATAAATAACTATTAAATAGCTAAATATTTTATTTTGAATTTGATCCACTGCAATTTCTTCTCATTCTGTATGATTATTAAACTTATTAAACTATTTGTAGAAAAGTATTCTTGTAATTTATTAGGTAAATAAATAAATAATATCAACTGTATATAACTAGATTATTCAACTTTATGTAACCAGTTACATAATATTTACTTTTATGTAATTAGTTTGAACATGCTGCGAATATAAAAGATTTTGCTTTATATATGGCAACCTTAGAAAAAAGATTTCAAAGAAAGCTCAAACATAGTAACCAATGCATCTAATAATAAGTATTATTACTTTTTTTCTTAAATAATTACTATACCCTAAAAACAACATTGACATTAGGTACAAACAAAAAAAACTCAACATTAAATTTGCATTTGATGAGTTGACGCTGGGAGTAGCTCATTTCCAAACAATTTCCTTTCTACAACCCTAAATTGTCTTTCACCTATGTTGACCTATTTGTAAAGTTCATCCATTTTAAGGCTGTTACTAGTAAGACAACACCAATTTAGGAAAATCCTCTTTGTCGACTTTATACACGACTAGTCACAACTAATGAAGGAATTAAATGAATGAAATGCAATAAAGGCGTTTATAGAGGAGTATATTAAAAAAAAGTAATTTTAAAGTAGATTGCGAGGATGGAATAAATAATTTCCAGCCTGACCCGAATGTATAAGAGATCTCGGAATTTATTTTAATCCTCAACTAACTTTCGTTAAACACATTGAAACGATGTTATCTGCTGCTAACTCGAAGCTGTAAAGAATTCCGAGACATATTCTATTTATTAGTTTTGTACGGTCAAAACTTGAATACTGTTCTGTTGTTTGGAATCCCGTGCATAACATTTATACTGACTTACTCGAAAAAGTTCAAAGAAAAATCATGAATTCGGATTCCTACATTTTAGATGATATATACCCTACAAGGGGATATCCCCACGCTTTACTAATATCTAGATTCAATCTTTCAGAGCTCGTGATACGCAGAAATTTCCAATAGGTACTCCTACTTTATAATTTTTTAAATGGCTCAGTCGACAGTATTGATTTGTTAAATTACATTAATCTAAAAATCCCCCCCTGTTGGTTTAAGAGTTTACTTGAGTTTCTATATGCCAGCTTCTAGAACTAATATTTTGAACTCATCTCCAATGTACCAATCTATTCAAAAATATCATGAAATTCAAGACAGCTTGGACATTTTTGCATGTAAAAAATATATGATTAAAAATGTTTTTTCTTTAACACTGTAAAAAAAAATTATGTAAAGCATGTAACTCAATGTAGATAACCATTTTTTTTATCCTGTGTCCGGTCAGTTTTTTCTGGATGTTTACATTGTATTTTTAACAATTTGGTATTTGTATTTATATTCTAATGTTTTGTCTTTCCGATGGTGATTACTGTTGGGTGGTGTAACCTTGGTCATTCACGTGGAACCTCTATGTGCTTCTTCTCAAAATACAAACGATAACTTAAAACTTGGAAATGTTTGTATTTTACTTGGGAATCACATACATGACAGTTTTATATTTAAAGACCTAATAAAACATAAAATTTACTTGCTTGGTAATAATGACACCGATAATTAATTTTATTAGTCTTACACGACTTACTTTTAATGGCGATTGCAATGCCCACTCAACAAAAAAATATATTCTTCTTTTAAGGCTTAATGATGGCCGAAACCAGTAGCCTCCATTTATATTTGTGTAATAAAAGAGATTATGTGCTACTGATTTTGAGTTTTTTTATTTTTGTTCTTTAAATAATTGTAAATTTGCCTGATTTAAATGTTATGCATTAAAAGTAACACAAATTATAGGTATACTTTCCTGTGATAGATAAAACATTGTCACTTGTCACTGACTTTCAACTCAATCAAAATTTTGCTAAAGTACGTCCTTTTTAAATGATAAAGTTGTCTATGGCCTATTTAAAAAGTATGGGTACTTATAATAGTTAATATATGCTTAGAATTTTATGTCTGTAACATTACATGAAGTATTTTGTTTGTAGATAAAATTTGAATTAAAAAAACCAGTGACATGTGAATGAATACAATACCTACCATATAAAACTCGTTTTTTGTTACAGCAATAATTTGGAGTTAGAAATGGCGTTCCTGCTATTAATAATAACGTTATGTCTGAACTTTGAATTAACTCTTCTGGTATCTCTAAGGAAAACAACTACTGCTTTACCACAGAAAAACGATCATCAAAACATATCGCTGTTGCTGGATAACTTATTAAGAGGATATGACAATAGCGTACGTCCAGATTTCGGAGGTAAGAATTATAAATATCCTATATAACCAGAGCCGTTGTAACCATATGAGGTAGTGCGCGACTTCAATACATGACTTACTTCAAGTAGAGTTCGATCTTGATTATACACTGCACCAAGGTTGGGTAGTCCAAAAGAGCACTACTAGTAACCCTGTATTACTGGTAAGACCAAAGAAAAAGGAGAAATACTGTAAAAGTTATTATAATCTAACCAATGTAAGGTGAATGCAGCAATGGCTAAGGCATAAGTCTTTCTTCCATGAGACATACCTCATACACTTAGCATTCGTGCAGCTTGCAAAAAAATCGATTGGAGATTGTACAAACTTTCTATCATTTGAAACTACTCATTATTTAGTTCCCACTCTGTTTTTGGATTCAAAGTCTGCTTCGAAATCGAAACCTTATAAATGGACCCTCTGAAATATCTTTCCAGAATCTGTAATGTTTCCTTAGATTCTCTGCTAGAACACTTACTGTTGTATTGAATAATTATGTTTGGTTTGATGTCTCTGAGGTCATTTCCAACAGTTCTGTTGATGTCCCCTTGGGCTTGAGTACTTCTATTGTTCGGGGGAACTCCGTGAGTCCTTTTGTTGTCCGGAGAGATTCTTGAAGTATAAAATCTTGTGCGTTACCTTTAACTTAGACTTCTGCTTCAAATCTTCACCTAAACTCTTCATAGCTTTAGCTGATTTGATACGGTCTCCTAAGTTGTTCCCAAATAGCCATTCATCTAACATTCTTCCCTATTACTTCTTTAAGGTCACTTTTAAATTTTAATGTAAGAAGATTATCTTTAATAATACTGAAATTGCTGCAGGCATTGATACAAATATCAGCCACCGAATCTGTTAACCAGTTAGGAACATTGAGTAAATAGGTAAATTATTTTTATTTGCTCACTGATTTACGACTTGTTTACATTGGATTAGTATTTAGAATTTTACCAGCTTTAATTTATCGATTTAATAAATTTTTGAATAGTTCACATAGAATTTTTCATTCATATATAGAGAAGCAAAGATCAAGTTAATATAATTTGAAATAAACTATTAAAATTTTTAAAACTCCATCGACAAAGCCGAAAATTCATTTAAAACTTTAATTACTTTGTAAAATAATTTATTCCAAAGGCTTAGAATATTAAGAAATTCGTTAAATAGGTACATTTGTGGTAAAAAAGTACTTATCTACTAATAATTATACATCCAAATGCGATTTGTAATTGAAATACTTTAAGGAGCTTTAAAAGTTTTCCTTTATATCAAAATTTTCTTAGAGCTCTAGTATTATGGATCACTAATTGGAAAAATTAATAAAGTAAATATTTGTCTTGGCAAAGATCCTCTGTCTGACGATTATAATTTTCATTTGGCAAATTGCCAGACGACTTACAGTTCGTGTGTTTACCCCTCATTAAGGGTGTTTTGTATTTCGGGACATTTCAGGGCAAAGCTTTAATAAAATGATGTCATTTTTACTCAGAAATAAATTATTATGTGCTGAACTATCTGACTAGATATACAAGATGTTTTTATGTTTTCTTGTCTGTGACAAAACCTTTTGGGGAAATAGGATTACTTTATTTTGGAAAACATGTTTCATGTTGATATTACTCTTACTGGCACATCCCCATAACTGTATGCCATAAATCCAAGTGGGTTTTAGGATTTATAAATCAATACACTGACAACTTAAATTTGCTTCCTAGGACCCATTACATTGAATTTAAGTTCAAGTTCTTTAAGTTTTAACCTGTTAAAATCAAATGACAAATCTGCAAGCAAACTATTAGACAACTTTCATCAATCGTATGCTTAGATTAGAAAACTTTCTTGGATTTTTTATTTACAGGCCCACCCACTATTGTTGAAGTGGACATAATGGTAAGAAGCATGGGTCCAATATCTGAGATAGATATGGTAAGTACTTTTAGTTAATATTTACAATAAAAGAACAATTAAAAATGATCTTATCAGTTATGACTAACTTATCTATATGGTGTGACAATTTAAAAATTTACAATGGGCCATATCTCACAAACGAAAGATAATATCAAAAAAATGCTTAAAACCGTTTCTAGTACAAGAAGGGGGAATTAAAATGACATAAAAGAGAACTCACTCCCATCAACCCCCTGGGCCTCACAACTCGACTAAAAAAGTTTAAATAGCAAACCCCTACTTGTGATACATCATCAAAAGGTCTATAGAAATGTTATTCAGTGGTATAAATAATAATTGTACAGGGTGAATCAATAATTATCAAATCTTGTCTTAAAATGAAAATTTAATTAAGTTTTTGTTGAATTACAAATTTGTGAGTTTTCTTTTATGTCATTTTAGTTTCACCTTTCCTATCCTAGAAACGGTTTTAAGCATTTTTTAAAATCTTTACTTTGTGAGATATAGTAAGTTTTTAAATTGTCACACTGTATACAAAAGAGTTATAGACTTTTGAAGTTACTAATTGAAACTATATTTCAAGAAACTCAAAAATTGCTCTACCTTTTTTGTTACATTCTGTGTGTTATTTTTAGACTTATTCAATGGACTGTTATTTTCGCCAGTCATGGATGGACAAACGTTTATCGTTTTTTGCTAGTAGCAATTACACTCTCGCTTTAAGCATCTCCATGTTAGCCAAAATTTGGAAACCGGACACATACTTTTACAATGGAAAACAATCGTATCTTCATACAATTTCTACACCGAATAAATTCGTTAGATTGCACCATGATGGACAAGTTTTATATTCTTCCAGGTAAGCTACCTCAAGGTTCTGTCATAAGACTCATGAGCGTATTACTAATTAGAAGTTAGAAGTACAAATATAAGTATAGTATTTGGTTTAATATTTTATAATCAGCGAAATATAGAAATTCTGACTGTTAAAAACATTTTAGGTTGACGATAAAAGCAGGTTGTCCCATGAACTTGGAAGATTTTCCCATGGACGTTCAAAAATGTCCTTTAAAATTCGGTTCTTGTAAGTATTATATAAAGTCAATAAGGTTTTTATAAACCATTATAGACCAATTTACAAAATTATAACGTTTTGCTTTTCAGTTGGGTATACCAATCTCGATTTGATATACAGATGGAACAAAGCTAGACAGGTGGCCATAGCGGATGACATGAAACTGTCACAATTTGATCTAATTGCTACACCTGCCGGCAATAACACTATCAATATTTTTAATAGTGAAACAAATTCAGGTAAATTTAAATTAAATATATAATATAGTTGTTTGGTTTTATGTTTGACGTGTGTCTTAGTAACTACAGTTTTTTTTTGTTTTTAGTAGAGTATTCGATGTTATTGGTGAGTTTCCATCTTCAACGACATATGGGAAATTTTTTGATACAGGTGTATGGACCTTGCATGCTATTGGTGGTTTTATCCTGGGTCTCTTTTTGGTTGAACCGTGAAGCTACAGCTGATAGAATATCACTGGGTATGAAATATATAGGTTGTTTAATAAATCTTCTATTTTTATCTATTTTCAGGTATAACGACAGTATTAACAATGACTTTTTTGGGTCTAGAAGCAAGAACCAATCTACCAAAAGTCCCATATCCGACAGCTTTGGATTTCTTCGTGTTTCTATCATTTTCATTCATTTTTGCAACAATCATACAGGTAAAAACGTTAATTAATAATAATTATAAACATTTTACTTATAAAATATTTCTAGTTTGCAGTAGTTCACTATTTTACTAAATACGGATCAGGAGAATGTTATTTTAGCTTCAGTTCAGATTCGAGTAGTGATGAAGAAGATTGGACTCATTTGAAACCAAGAGTAAGTTCAATTTCAAAATGACTACAGGATTCATAAGGCATTTTAATTTTTAGACTTCAAAATCTGTAGCGAAAAGCGTGGAGGAATGTTCAAAACCTAACCCACGTTTCGAAGAAATCATCCACCTTCAAGACGTTATATCTTCTCCACCCGCAAAACCGTCTGCGCAAAAACTATCATGTTTACCTCAAACTCATCCACCGGGAATGACGGCTCGAAGAGGTAGCGCAATGTCCAGAAGACTTTCTCTTCAAACCAATAATTCTTACAAAAGGAAAAAGAGGTCTCCAAGGTTCAATTCGGTGTCGAAAATAGATAGAGTGTCGAGAATTTTGTTTCCTGCACTATTTTTGGCTATAAATACTTTTTATTGGATTTCGTATCTTTCAAAATCTAGTAAAAATATATAAAAAAGGAAAATAATTCCGAATTCAAATGTGACTGAGAAATAAAGAGAAGCATTCGAAGATTATCACAGAAAAAGTCGAGCGATTCCTTCACTCCGAAAAACAGCTACTTCTTTGACTTTGGATTATACCCAAGGAAAACTAGCAGATAGATAGTTTCGTCCTTACTAGGATTCTTCGACAGGAAATAGAAATTCTCACTTCTAATAGGGAATTATGGGCCTTGGCAAATGTATAATGAACTAAGTTGTTGATTGTTGTTGACAATTTCTACAATAATTTATATAAAAAGTAATAAAATAAGTGAATCAAATCTAAAAAAGGTATTAATAAGTTATGTGTTCTTATTGCGAGGTAAAACTAAAGTCATAGTTGTGACGTAGTCACCTAAACAATGATTTTCCTGGACTCAGCAGCCTCGTCCTGGAATTGGAATCACACCAGGATCAATAACAGATTCAAATAGAAGTAAACCCCTATTAATCTATATAACAGAATTTCGGAAATAAGAAGATTCAAGACTTAACAAACTGTAAACAATTAAAATTTGTTCACTTACCATTTGTTTTAATTGTTATTGATAATATTATTTCCTTTGAAGTAATTTTCAGTTATTAAAAATGGAACATGCGATGACGTTGTGAGCTAAATTTAGAATTGTAATGCCGAATAAAAAAGTAATTTTAAAATTAAGATTTATTTATGAAACCAGTTACGAAATGCCTTATTTTATGTAGCGAGTGAATATTTGCGGGACGAACAGAGCGAGGTTAATAATATCAATAATTAATTGTCATTTTTGTTTTCATCCATGTTTGAGCATGTTTTTCCAATACTAAAACTATTCATATTTCTAATAAAAATAGTTTACGATTTTTTCAATTCAAATGGTTCGAGCACAACTTTTTACAAAGAAAACTGAATTAAATTCCTTTTAAATTACATGACAAAAACTTCAGCAGTCGAGGGAATATGCGAGTGGTTAAAATATATGTCAAGTGAAGATAATGGCCCTTACGAGCGAGAAAAGTAGAACAATGAAGGTGAAGTTCATAAAGCCATTTTTAAATGCATTAATCAGCTTTTTTTTGAATTAATCTTTCCGTTCATTATCAAGATCAAGGCTAAATATCTAAAAGTTTAAAAAAATGGTATATAGAACATTGAAAAAAGTTAGTGGTGGTCACCATGTGCGCCACTAGGAGACAAAAGGGGCGATTGTCTCCCTGGATTATTGAATTTATTTGTTTACAGTACAGCATAATACAAAACAATGTAAATGGTACATTTAAAATATAAAGAAAATTAAATAACAGATTAATATGGTAAAATAATAAAATTGTTATATCTTCAGGCCTGATGAGAGAGGGGCAGGAGGGTAAAATCCCCGGGCCCGGGCACAAAATGGGCCCGTCAGCTTTAGCAGGTGAGACCCTTTTTTTAGAAATTTTACACAGAAAGGGCTTAATTTTTATAAAAATGCCCCGCTATTTGCTGCAATTCTGCCAACCCTAGGGGCCCTTGTCAATGTTTCCGCCATGGCTCTCAGCAGCCCTGTATATCTTCATTTCATCAACTCGGCTCGATGTAATAATAAAAGCATGTTAAAAAGTACGCTTGTAACTAAATTCAACCTTACACGTTTAAAGTAAGACCGTGAAATCTGTCCATCGTCAGCGCAACGCTCAATAAACAAAGTTTCAAATCAACTTACTATTATTTTTAAAAGACGTTACCGGGTTGTCTGTTACTTAAAAGAAAAAAATGTAAATTTAAAGTATCTACCTACCACAGATTTTTTAAATACCCTGGATAATAAAATGATTTATAGATTATCAGCACTTTTAACCTACATGATACCGCTTTGCCAAAAAAAGATAAAATGTGACCCTCCTTGTTAAATCAAAAGATTCACCTTCTGAAGTCGCCTATTCCACCTTAAAACGTAAAATATTAAGACACGAGTATGTTGTAATAATTTGTTAAGAAAAAAAGTTAAATTTAAACCAAAAGACTCACCATTTGAAGCTGCTCATTCCTCCTTCATTCTCTGCCTTATTTGTTGCTCCAGTATTTTCTGTAATATCCATTGTTTCTAGTTGATTTTCCCGAATACACCGCGTCCGGACAAATCTTCTACTTCCGACGATATTAGTGATCATCGTATCATGTTCAGTTCTATAGCAACCCTTTGATACGTAGATATATCTCCGGCCAGTATATCCTGCAGCCTTGTCCGTTTGATCCTGGAAGGTACATCCCAAGACAGTATAATGAAAATCAAAGATCCTCATTAAACATCAAAGGACATACATTCTAAGATTAAACGTCTTTATTGTCAGAGGTGAAATGAACATGAGCTCAGACCATTGATATCGTACTACCGACTAACTCGAGAAATTTGCGACGATTTATATTTTTCTTTACGGACATTCGCTGAAAAAAAAACAACAATTAATAGGAAATTTTGAAATTGTCAAAAGGGGAGGATATTTATTGAAGGAACAAAAAAAGCTCTGAGTATGTATAAAATATTCTTACACAGGCGAATCTGCCTACATGAAAAATTATAGATAGTATGCTTAATAAACTAATATTCCAAAAATGTTCCGTTACCAAAATACAGGGTGCTAAAGTTTTGGAAAAAAAAAAGAAAATTATTTTATTTTATAATTTAGTAGAATCATAAAGTATTTTTAAAATAGTTATTTTATCTTAAGATCAAACCGAACACCTTAAACATTCTTTATTGTTAGTCCAATTTTTATGAAATTTCTAGGAATTACCAATAATAAAACTTAGGGTGAAGAACCTTAATTTTTTTGTAAACCTTCGAAAAAAATTTTAAAAAGAAAGATTATTGAACCTATGAAAATTTACTGCTTTTTGATTTAGTAAATGTCTGGTAGATTTTAAATGGAACGATAGGCCATTTTTTTAGATTTACTTGCCTGGGCAATTTACCACCTACCTTAAAAATTTGCCCACCCAGTAAAATGGATTTGCCCACCAGTAAAATAGATAGGAATCCTTTTTATGTGAGTATTTAAGTATAAGTTAATAGGAAAAGGAAATATATTGGGTTGACCATTATTCCAAAATTAGGGAAGAATATATTTCTTCGTACTTAAATTAAAAATAAAACCATTAAAACTGCAATGTGATAACTTCATTAGCTCAAATACTTAGAAAAAAATATTTTCTTGCGTAATTTTATTTATTAACAACCCTAGCCATGGTATCAATAAGAGATTTCTCTTTTCAAGTCACCTTCATATAACACATTTACTAGGTGTAGATTGTAAATATGCAGTTGTCAAATAAAAAAAATTGTATGAAATAAATCAAGTCATCAGTACTTATAAGTCAGTCAGAAATATATCGGGTGCAACATTACTCCAAAATAACGAATGGATATGTTTTATAATAATACATTCTGTATTCGGGCTAATAAAGTTAACACAATGTTGTATTAACGGTTTTATTTTAAATTTAATAGAGTACGAAAAAGTATTTAAAAAAATATATTCTTGCGTAATTTTTTAATATCTGTCAACCCAGTATATTCCTTATTAAGTAAGATGGTGTATTTCTTATTAACTTAAACTGATAACTTGATTTATTCAAAACTTTTTTGTAAACCTATCAGGAATATAAATATTAATAAGTTAAGTTACTTTTTGTACACTCTCTATACAATTTCGACTTCATGTCAAATTTCTCAAATAATAGTAAATCAAAATATGTCATACAAAGTAATTATCTTGTTTTTTAAATTTTAAAACTTTTGGATAACACAAAATAATAATATTGTTTATTTCTTAACAGATGATGTAATATTAATATTTAGTTTTAATATGTACTATAACAATTTAATCAAAATTGATAAAAAAATTCGCCGGATGAGACTGGAAATTAAAAGTTAAAAAGTTTTTTAGGAAGAGCAACGAAATAAATTAATAAAAGTAATGCTGTTTGGAAATGTTACGTCGAAAACACGGTTCTTTGTGAGGTTTCCGGTGGTATATTTAAAAAGTACTATCCTTCCTAAAGCTATACATGTAAATTTAAAAAAAATTGGATTATTAAGAAAAGGGTGTCTTCCCAATTTATCCTTTTATACGCAATATGAACATTGTTCCAATATGTATTCGATTATATCAAATATTATTCTGGTTCTTGTTATAAATTGGAACGCTTGGCAACCATGCACATATTTTGTTTTCACTTCAATAAAAACATACCTATATCTTTTAAAACATTATTTTGTATTTTTTCATCTACTTGCAGTCACCATTATCACATTTAAAATAATTTAACACAATCGGTTTACGTACGCTACTGCTGAAAATTCCAATATGAGCGAGAAAGCCTGCAGTAGAAAAAGAAACAATGATTATATTATAGCGACATCAACATTGTTATAGATTTATGCAGTGGTAACCTATCTGTACATATATTATCTAAGACGAAAATCGAAAAATCTTTAGGTTAGAATAGAATCACCAAAATCTGCAGGTTTAAACTCAAATTTCTCTGTTATTTATGCGTAATTCGTAAATATTCTGTTATTTCCCAATATATTATACACTCAGTACTATTTACTAGTTTAATTTTTTTTTCAAAATTCGTGTGTTCGTACAGTTTAACGGCACCATATTGAGATGTTATCGCTTTTTAAATATTATGCAACTTACCTAATAATGTATTCAAACTGATTCTTCATATTTTTAACACAACAAAACATAAATCATAATGTTATTTCTTAAAAAATGTTCACTTTTACACTCCATAGAAAATTACTCATCAGCTGTCATTTTATCAGGTAATTGTCTCATTGGTGGAAACCATACAGCCTACTAATTTAAAACTTTTGTTCTGTCAGTTTAGGCATTTTCAAATACGTTATCAGGGTTTTACCAGCCGATAATTTATGAAAAAATAAAGGTAGTTTGTTTATTTTTGATGTACAGAACAATAATTTTTTTAAATAGTTTTTTTTTATTAATATCTAAAAAAATGTTTTGATTTTGATTTTAATGAAATTGTCACAGTTTGTTGACATCTCTATGAGATGTCTTTCAAACATGTTACAGTTGATACAGTGCAGTGTTGCCAGAATTTATTTTTGTTATATACCAGATTTGTCTAAAAAGGTACCAGATTCCATAAAAATGTACCAGATTCTATAATTTATACCAGATTTTTCGGATTGTGATGATTTGGAGCAAAAAAAGCCTTTATTGTACTATACTCATTTTATTAATGTAAAGAAAGAATATTTTTCATCAGAAAAATAAAACACAACTAGTGTGATTAATATTTATCACTAACAAGGTTTATATAAGTATTAATCATTCCCTGCTCGGAGCGACAAGTTTCTGGGCAGATTTTTGTGTTTAAAAGCATTAGTCTGAAATAAACCTTCTTTGTTATAAGTTCGTCTTATTATTTTTGGTAGGGTCGATTACATTATAGAAAACGAATACAAACAAGGAAGACCCCAACACGAGAGTTTTTGCAAACATCCGCTAACGTTACCTTAGCGATATACTATAATCTACATGTCACAATCTAAGTTTAACGTAACGTTAGCGGAGATCTTACGTATATTTGCTAAAATTCTCTAATATAATTTACACGTCAAATGGAAACACGCTGAAAAACGAAATAGTACTAGATTTTACTTCGAGTGTACTAGGTACTTACTTAGGTACCTAATCATTTGAAACACCCGCAGCACCTCGCTAAGGATTCTAGAGTTAAAACAATAAATATATTATGAGTCTAAAATTCGTTGGATTAAATTAATGAACTAATAAAAGGTGTTTTCCACAGCATATTTAATTTTATTCGACTATTCATTAGCCATAGGCTGAAGCTGAACCTGTATTTAAATCCTTTATCATGATTTAAATCCTGCAGAGTCATCTATCTCAGAAATAGTAAAATATTTAAAAGATTTTGCTGAAATCTGTAATAAACTGCATTAAAGCTTATAATACTTACCAATAGGTGGCAGAAGCGTCTTCTTGCTTTATTATAGAACGATACTGATGTAATCCTAAATCAAATAGTTTATTTTACAATAAAAACAATGCCGTCATTTAATTTGCGTATTATTTCAATCTTCTGCAGTCGCAGTATTAAAAAATATTATTTAGTTAAAAAAAAGTTCTGCCATCTATGAATTAATAAGTATTTTTAAGGGACCCACTCTACAGATATCTGTAAAAATGGTTCTGTTTAAAGTTCCATTTAATTTTCTAATAGTTGACAGACTGACAGAAAATGCAGTGTAGTCAGATTTCATTTATCAAACGTAGGTTTTGTTAATTAAAATTATATTTTTAATATTTATTGCGTCAATAATTATATGTTTTAGAAAAGATAGTTACGAGTAATAATTAAACTTTGGAGTAAATCCCAAATGTTTCTATTATGAATTATCCGGAAATGGAATATTAAGCACTACAAACAAATCGATATGATTTTCCGTGGAGTGTGTAGCGTGTAAAGAAGAAAGAAGAAGTGAAGTTTCGCAACACTGATGAAAGAAAGTGAGCAGTCAAGTCAAAAGTCAATAAAATCAAAAAGCAGAAACAACCACTACGTATTATGTTCTAAAAATATTCAATGGGTGCGAATCATTAATGTGAATAAATAATAAATAATAACGTAAGTACCCAATATTTATTAAAATAATTATGATTTATATTTCCCTGAAGGCTGAAGGTCTCAATCGATTCCTAAACGTCACACATGTATGAATCAACCTTGTCTACTTGACAACTCCTAGAACTTGGAACTTCATTTTACCGAAAGAAAGAACTTTAAAATATATTCCCAAAGAGGTACATGGTATGAAAACGAATATTTAAACTTGTATTCATTAAAAACTGATCTATGTACCTATTAACTTTTTTCAAGTATGGTTAAATTTATTTACAGGGTGTTGCCAATAATATAATGCAAGGTCTAATTATTAAATAAGGTGTAACTATCTCCTTTTTATATGTGCAAGTACAAAATTATGAACGCTTTTTAGAATGTTGCAATGTAAATTTGAATATGGGGTCCACCAAAAAAAATAGAAGGGCTTGATAACATGTCTCCTTTACAACTATTTCAGTTTCTTTTCATTTAGAATCCTTGAAATAGATTTGACAAAAGTTTAGTCAATTTATTACTCTTTTTTAATTCCAAGCTAAACTTGTCTCTAATAATAATGATTATCAAGTTCTTACATAGGTACTACCTTTATGAACTAGTACCTATTTGAATTCTCATTGGTACCTGCACACATTTACTTAAATTAGTCATTTTCATGAGTATAAAATCCCAAATTCCTGTTCTTTATTAGTGGGTTGCATAAAAGATTATATTTTAAATCTAGGATAATATTTTATTTATGTCTATGGATGTTTATTATCTCTAGATTAGAAAATCCAATGATTTTTGTAAACAAACTATATATTCACCCATATGTATGACATGTAGGGTATAATCGTAGATAAATTTTGATACTAGATAACAAGAGTGCTTTTCCTCATCCTATTTACATGGGTGAGCTATTTATATCACTATATATCATTGGATCTTTCCCTTTTAGTACACGAGCGCCATCTTAATTTCATACATTTTGGGGGACACTTTTTGAGACAACTCATGAAATTATTCTCTTTTTCTCTTCAAACATGTATGCCTACAAATGTCAATATAAATCCTTCAAATAATACAACTCAAATATATCTTAGATAAAAACAAAATTTAGAGATAATAAATATTCATGGATAAAATGTATTATCCTAATTTAAAATTTAATCTGCCTTTATGAAACCCACTACTTATATGTAATCTATGTCTTCAACTCTTTATTGTATCTTGTGTCCCCTAGTCTTTTAATTTTCTTCTAAATTACAATTTTTATTCTTACCATTTTCAGTTTTTAAATATTAAAATTGCAAAGTACTCAACATTTGATTACAACCATCATTACAATAAGATAAATGCCAGTACGTAATGATCTTTATTTATAATTTCAAATATATAGGTAACACCTATAACTATCAATAAATAAATAAAAAGTGATTAAGTAGCTTTGTTCTTTTTATTGTAACCAGGCTTTACCTAATCATTATTCTTAGTACTTATGGCATACTGAAAATCTATAGGTTTATTACATATAAGAATAGTAAATTATGAAATTATTTTTATCAGTAGATACCTAGAGAATGAAAATGTATTCATAGATACCTACATTCATAATTAACCTGTAAATATAAATAAAAGACACATAATTGAATTGTATTTCCTAGCTGATAAAAGGACAAAATAATACCATAACAAATCATTTCTCTTGGAATGTTTTGGTCATGGTAAAAATAACCTTGCTTGATTCTAAATGTGCACATTTTTATGATAAAATTAAATCTAAAAAATCATATTCACAAGTATCAGTTGAGATGTAGCATTTGTGAAAACAGTAATCCTTAACCTTGGTTATATAATTGGCATTCAACAAAATTATAATTAAAACAATTTTGGGTAAATTAAATATAAAAACATTAATTTAAAAACCATAAAAGGACAAGTTGCATTAAATTACATAGTTGTCCTACTTGATCTTTGTGTTATGTTATCACTATTTTTTTACAATTCATGAGTATGTTTATATAATCATCGATGTATAGGTAGTTGATATTTTATTTTTTTTTTATTACTTTTATTTACGAAAATTATTATTACCTTCGTCACACATCATAAAACAAATCACATTGATATGTCATTTATAAATTTAGATTTATTATAGTATTAATTTGTTTACCATAGGTATATTATCTCAACTATGGTATTTAATCAGCTGTTGCTAGTTGTTGTTTGGGTACAAGGGAAGATGCCATTTAAGTAGTCATTGTTCTTATTTTATATATACAGGGTGTACCAATAAAAACTCCCTGGCCGGATATTTTTGAATATAATATATTTATTTTCATTCTATAAAAGCCATTTTACAGAGCACTAAAGATTTTTCAAATTTGGATACATATTTTTTTTTTCATGACAATATGTAGATGGCGCTGCACTCAATAATTTTTTTTTATGGGAAGATCTTTCAAATATTACACATCTTAAGAAAATCCATTTTTAAGCAGACTTTGTTCAATAAATTAATTCGATAAATCTAGCCATTTTCTATATATCTAAGTTCTAACATTGCTTTTCCAAACAATTATTGTACTGTACTGTTTTTACAGTAGTAAAACTGCATTGACTATGACAGAATTAAAATATCTAAAATTTCTAAAATATCTGGTCTGGGAGCTTTTGTAGATACTGTATGTACATTTAGTATATATGTTTGCTATAAAGGAGACATTTTAATAACCCTCTCAAAATTCTTCTCATATTGTTGTATTTTTGTTTTAAATCGAATTCTAGATCTAACTCAATTTAAAAATGCAGGGTTTTCCAATAGAAACAATGAAATTGAGAAATATTCCACTTTTTTGTTTTCATCCATGTTTGAAAAAATTATATAAGCAATAGGTATATCAAAGTCACAAAATAGGTGAACAATACAGATGATATTAACTATCGGTACTTTGAAGTAGAAGGGATAGAAATACCTGAGATATCTGACCTTCAGTTTCACCATAGAGGTACTCTGAGAAAATTAGTAAATGTGCACATTGGCGCAAAGCAGAAGCAAAACAACTTGTTAAGCTTCCACAGTAACGGGTGTGAAGTTATCCACATCCACAAATGTACACTGAGATAAATACAGCTCCATTGTAATAGTCATATAACTTGGTTCAAATGACATGTAGAGACTTTTCATTTACAGATTTCAATTTTATAATTTACTACTATCTATGATTTTTTTTTGAATTTCACCCCAATTGCACCCCCTCAGACGGCTCGACAAACTCCAACATGGTATCAGATGAAAAAAGAGCAAACTACATAACATATACCAAGCAGAAAGATTTACAAAGTCATTTGTGGCTTCTATGACTTTTTTAAATTTCACCCTTAATTGCACCCCCTCAGACGGCTCGACAAACTCCAGCATAGTATCAGGGGTAGAAGAAAAGAGCAAACCACATAACATTTCCCAAGCATAAAGATGTACAACGCCATTTGTGGCTTCTATGATTTTTTTAAATTTCACCCCCAGAGCGCCCTCTCAGACGGATCGACAAACTCCAGCATGGTATCAGGGATGAAGAAAAGAACAAACTACATAACATATCCCAAGCAGAAAGGTGTACAAAGCCACTTGTGGCTTCTATGATTTTTTTAAATTTTACCCCTAATTGCACCCCCCCAGACGGAACAAAAGTTAATTGCGGGTATGGTTGTTCTGTATTGAAACCTCCCCAATTGAAATATGCAAATGAAATGCCTCTACATGTCATTTGAACCAAGTTATATGACTATTACAATGGAGCTGTATTTTTCTTAGTGTACGTCGTTCATAAGTATATTAAACGTCAGTGCAATGTACCGAAAGTGAACTTAATCGCTACGTTGCCAGATTTATCTTTGCTAGGATAAAAAGTAGAGTGGGTAATGGTAGTAACTTGTGTTCATAGGAGAGGGAACACCGCTTATTTTTTGGTCTCGATAACAATACTTTTTTCTATTTTTGGTACATTTTTAGTACAAAGCACATTATCTATTAGTGCTATTAAAAGTTTTATGCGTTTATCATTGGTCTAAATATTGAGTAAGAACACTGATTCATTTTATTAAAGGATTAAAAAGAAAAAAATGTTTAGGGATTACATTAAGGCATCTTTTTTGTTACCCAACAATGACGTAAAATGCATTAGTAAAAACTAGTTGGTTTTAAATCCGGTTTTTGTTACTACATAAAAGATTTTTGTTACAGATTAACTGTTAAGTATTAAAAGTTAAGATATTTTTAATTTAGATTGTGGAAGTTGTACTGTATAAATATTTTTTGGTAATGGTATCGCCGGCCAAGCGTGGATGTTTATTCAAGAGTGATTTTTGAAAAATGTCTAAAACCATCAATGCATATAGGATGTAAGTTATATAATATACTTTTATTTGTAATTTTACGCTTTTTTGTTTGTTTCCTTCCTTTCATTTGTGAGTGTATTTTTTCATGCATTAATTTATTGGACTGTGCACCTAAAGCAGCCGCACGAGTTATTTTTTAAATATACAGGGTGTTTCATTTGGCTTTCGCTACTTATTCAGATATTGGTTTATTATCCATTCACTTTTAATTTTGTTGACACGGTTAACTGGGTGTTAAATAAAAAGCCAATGGTTAAATATTTGCATTAAAAAAATTGGGTAAACATCCACTAAGTATAAGTTGAAAGTCGTATTTTTAAATTACGTTAGTTTTTTTGTATATATACTTTCATACATTACTGAAGATTTTTTTAACTGTTTAGCAAATTGTTGGTTTATTTGAAGTTATCAGACATAAGCAAACGTACAAGAAAATACCCTACATTTTCCATATTTCTCACAATACCAAATACACAAAATTTTAGTGTTTTCAGAAACCAGTACTGATGATTTTTGTATTTTTTTTAAATTATATGATATTATGTTTTTTAAATTTTGGACTGGCCCTTCAATTTAGCAAATATCTGTAGTCACAAAAGATACCTCTGTATGTTGCACAACCATAATCTTGTGAACTTTTTCCTTTTTGTTTTTGATAATTGACTTGTAAACATCCTGTTATTTATTGATGGGTTTTTTTTTGTCATGATTGTTACCAATTACTAACTATTGTTGTTCTCTGACATAGAACCTTTTTTTATCGTTTTTTTTGCATCTAAACCGCATTTGTACTTTTTTTTATAGTAATTAACAGTTTTATCACAATTTTTCTTTTTTCACAATTATTAATTTATCTGGGTTTACCAATTTTGTGGAAAAGTTCGATACCTTCCTTGTAAGATGTACTAAAAAAGTGAATTAACAAAAATAATGAAGGCCACATTCAAAAATTACATAGAGGTAGACAGGGGGCAGGGAGCTGAATAACTCACGTATGAACCAAACATGTTTTTTTTATATAAATGTATATATCTACAGGGTATCCCGAAATTAGACGGTCATATTTTAACAGCATAATCTACATTCTAAAATAGAAGTAAAAGTTCATATAAACATAGTTCCGAAAACGTTTCGTGAAGTGAAGTCCTGATGACATATTTTTGTTAAATTTTATAAAATTTCTTTAGTCACCGGTTTTTCAAAGTTAAAAAAAATAAAATGTTTGATTCCACAGGCCTACTAATTATTGTTTACACTTTCGAATAAGATAACATCAACTTATCATGAAAATTTCAAATGCTTTTTTCTTGAAAATGGTGCGTCCTAGCGAGATACAACAAAAGTAGCTTTGGTTTTCCAAATTTTGTAGTCAAAAATGTTAAAAACAGTCAACAAAAAACTTTTAACTCGAAGCCCTTCCCCTAATTTACTCACCCATGAAGATGATCAAAAACTGGCGTTTAGTCCATTAAATAAAACGTAAAAAGTCCATTGGAATCTTCTATGCATTTCGAGTGTTTTCTCATTTTCTTCTTTTTCATATCGATAAATCTAGGATTCTTGGGAAAAAGAGTATAAGTCAACAAATGGTCAAAATGACATATGTCCATATACCTACTGTTAATAACAATTCTCACCTTCTTGTAATAAGAATATGTAATTTACGGTCAAACAAGGCATTAATTCACTACTAAGGGCCGATCTTTTCACTGAGTAAAGTTACATGTACAATAGCCCTATAGTTTAATCAGCAAGTAGTTACTTGCAACTTTACTCAGAGGTAAAAAGACCCTAAGTAAAATAGTATAATTATTCTATACGAATCAATTTAGTATAAGCTGACTTATATTATTTAAACCTTTGCTACAAATAATATAAGTCTACTTATACTATTGCGACCACTGCTTGTTATTGTGACATGTTAAGTCTTGTACTTAGAGAACTTAAGCTCTAAATAATGTTTACTAAAAAGATCGAGTATGCTTCTTCCGTTGTTTGTTTTTTCTATGCAAAACTTTTTTCTGTGTGTATAATAAAATGCTTATTTTAGCATACTGTAAATTAAATCATTCATCAAAAATCACACACTAGAAACAGTGAAGCAAGGTATTTGAAATCACATGGCCAAACACGTTTTTCTCAACATTAGTAGAATCTAAAATTTTGTTGGTTTAATTGCCGAAACAAAGACGAGAGAATACATTCTAGAATCTGTTCCGAGCAGGGTTCGAACCTGGTTGATCTGGGTTGCCGTCCCAACGTCATGACCATTAACCATTAGTTAGGATTGAATTTTGTACTCAAATTAACAATTAAGTCACTGGGATATATAACGCTCAGGTTATTACGTTGAAACGGAAACAATTTTACAATTTTTCTTGTTTGTTATCACCCTTCGAATGCTCGAATGTATACCTAAATTCTTTCGATATTGGAATCGACAGTAGCGGCGCGTATTTAATACTACATAGTGTATCTAATTTAATTTATTTTTGCTTTAAAATATCAATGGGACACCCAGTATGCTTTAAAGTGCTTTGCAGGTTAGATTTAAATTAAGACGATAAAAAGATTGAAAAATGCATCCTATAAGCTTTTTAAAACGATTTTTTTGCGCAAATTTTTAAGACTAATGAATGCTCTTGTTCTTTTATGGTTTGTCGAAGCCTTTGCGTAAACATTTGTTGCCCACTTCACCTAGTTAAAAAGTAGTTCGTAGGTATGAAGCTTTATTGCCCTTTTTTTATTTGTATTTATGCCGGAATTAACTATATTTAATGAAAACTCACGATTTGTCGCTTCCAAAGTTATTGTCGACGCAAATATATCATTTTTCGGTCGTATTTTAGCAAGAAGATAGAAAATTACGGAAAAATGACGCAAATGACGCAAGAAGAAATCGTCGCCGCTGTAAAAACAGTGGCCCAGGGCTTGGAAGCCCTGCGTTCGGAGCATACAGGTATTTTACATAGTCTACATGAGGCACCGGATCCCGTGGTCAGCGAACGGGCCAGTTTGGTTCAGCAGAGCGCCGACATGATCGAACTCGGTCTCGGGGAAGCACAGGTAAGATAAAAATGCATTATGCAAATACGAGGATTGATCCCCATCCCTGATCTATTTATTCACATTGACAATAAAGGTTATGAATAATACACTGTTAAAAGCACCACTCTGTTCTTTATTAATTTAGTGATAGTACGTCGTGTTTTCTTAAAAAATATTTTTAAATTAACCTGACAATATTAATAAATCAGCTTGATGTTATTAATAAAGAGATCTTTGCTACTTCTTTAAATAAAAACCAGGTTTAAAAAAAAATTAATTTAGTGACAAATAAGACTTCTTATCTCACAATACTCTTTTAATATCATTATTTATTATATATTCATAAGAATTGCTTGTTATACATCTGGTAAATGTAAATAAATCATAATTCACGCCGTTCTAAACCTGACCAATATCAGTAATAAATAAATTGAAGATAGGTCCACGGTGTGATCCTTGTAGTACCCTTCAGGAACACTTAAATACATGGGTCGGCAACCTTTTGTTATAAGAGGGCGAAATATTTTAAATGGGGATTAGTTCGGGCAGCAATTGGGCCACATGTCATACGTGCGTTGCCGTGAAATCTTGTTTGAACCATCTCTGTACACAATCAATCATGAACTCTAAATTGAGCAAGTAAATATTGGTTTACCCGATCAAACGCCTTGGAAAAATTTGTGTATACAGCATCTAACTGTAATAAATTTTCATAGACAATCAATATTTTATTCTGGTAATATAATAAGTTTGTTAATGTTGATTTACCATGTTGGTAGTGCAGAGCACTACCTCTAACATAATCAATTTGTACTGATACTAATTTGGTTAGTAATTTAGGTATGTCAGATTTAATTGATATCCATCTGCAGTAGCTTATATCATCTTTATCGCCTGATTTATAAAAGAATGTGACAAATCTATTTTTCTAAAAGTCGCGACATAATTACTCAAATCTAGCAAATTCTTATCACAATTGTACTCCGCCATATAAAAATTATTTATTAGGATAAACCAAAGAAAAGTATCCTTCAATACTTCAATGGTGAAGCATTTAAATTCATCACGGATGGGGAATTTACATTTTTTCTAGTGCTTTTGACATGCTGACTTGTTGAAATATAATTTTTATTATAAATAGGACCAAAGAGATAAATCATCCTATATATCTTTTTCTTTTTATAAATTGTGAATGATACAGTAACTGTCAGATATAATATTGATTTTCCCAATTTGTTACGTATTGCTTCATACATTAACTTTTATAATTTACAAACCCATAGCTTTTAAAGATAAGCCACCTTCATTCAATATTGTTCTTGAATACAACCGCATTCAATAATTCAACAATTTTTCACAGATGATTTTGTAACTAATAATAAAATAATTCGTTTATATTAATAAAATTTTTCAAACCAAATATTACCTCATACATTCTTGCAAACGTTGATAATTACAAATTAAAAGAATGTTTGCTGATAAATCTATCAAAAAATAACTAAAACTCAGTTCCTTGGTACAAGCAATGATGAGAAATGTCAATTGTTAACTATTAAATTTTATCAAAGAATAAAAATTATTTAAAAGTGAAGTTGCGAAGTGATTATTGATATTTAATACAATAAAAAAGTATTCTTATATCTAATATTGAAAGTGTAAGAGAAATATAGGACTTTTAAAAAGTTTCTTTATTTTTGTTGTTTTTAATTATGTTTTTTACGTCAGTTGTATCGTATAATGAATATGGTGAAATTTATGTAGGTTATGATGACTCAACAGTTCATTAAATAGTATTCTTGGTGTTATTCTGTAAAATCTTCAATACAGCCTGTTATTTTAACACTACTTACATGATAGCAACGTAAATTAAGAAAGAAAAACATATCTACCTGTCAGGCTTTGCAAACCAGCCTGGCGAATACAAGACGTCACTCTATTTTAGGTTATAATGGCGCTAGCGGCCCATTTACAATTAGTAGAAGCCGAAAAGCAAAAATTGCGCACCCAGGTGCGAAGGTTGTGTCAAGAAAATGCTTGGTTGCGAGACGAGTTGGCTTCTACGCAACAAAGGCTGCAGTCCAGTGAGCAAATGGTGGCCCAATTGGAAGAAGACAAGCGCCATTTGGAATTTATGAGTTCTGTTAGTAAATACGATCAGGACGTGACTGAAGACAATGCTTCCGAACCGTCGAAGAGCGAAAAAAGTGATCCCGTAGTCGATTTATTTCCCGACGATGATGCCGATGATAGACATAGTAAGTCATCAGGTGTTGTGGGCCTTGTTGTTTACTGTAGTCCGCGTTTTATTTTAGATATGTCTCCCACGCCACCAAACCAATTGCAACTTTCGCAACAGGTCAATGCGGGTTACGAAATACCAGCCCGTCTTAGAACTCTACACAATTTAGTTATACAATACGCCTCTCAAGGTCGGTACGAGGTTGCTGTGCCGCTCTGTAAACAGGCTTTGGAAGACTTAGAGAAGACCAGCGGTCACGATCATCCCGACGTTGCCACCATGTTGAATATTCTTGCCCTAGTTTACAGGTAAATACAGCATTTTCAAATAGTGGGTCCTTCACCCACATGTATGCAAGCATCTACTCTTCTTTGCATAAATTGACGCATATTTTCAAAAAATTCCTATGGTGTTTCTTATGGTTTGACAGTATACTAAAGGGTGTCCAAATTTGACTTCCGATTTAATTTAATAATAAAACATGAAAAGTTCTTGAAATTATATAATATTGTATTATTTTAAAGTTAAAATGTTACGGTTAATAATGAAAAATGATATCCGGCATGTGGACCCTCTGCTTCTTTAGCATGCTAACATTCTTTTAACAAAATTTTCGCAGACACTGTTCAATTTCTTCATTTTTTTGAAGTTGTTCAGGTGGGTGAGGGTTATTAGCATAAACTTTTCCCTTCAAAAACCCCCACAACAAATATTTTAATGGTGTAAGGTCGCACGACCTAGGCGGACAATTAACCTCGGCTCTTCAAGAAATTATTCGAATGCTAAATCTTTTCCTTAAAAGATTTAGTGTTTTATCCGATGTGTGGCATGTGGCGCCGCCGTTTTGCTGGAACCACATGTTCTGGACATCCATATCTTCTAATTCGTTCCACAAATAATCTCGTAATCATTGTCCTGTATTGCGCTTCATTCACAGTTATCGGATCATCAGCTTCATTATGGAAAAAATAAGGACTAATAATGGCACTAGACCAAAAACCACACTACACAGTCACATTTCCTGGATACAGTTGTTTTTACAATATTTCTCTTGGATTTTCTTCACCCCATATTCTGCTATTGAAATTTCTTCATAAAACTAACTTTAACAGATGCGTAAGGAATCTTGCAGTTTCAGCAAAATATTCCTTATTTTGGTAATAAGTTTTCACAATAAAAATGGGGTTTTCGATAGACAGTTGTTCCATGTTGATCAAAAAACAAGTAATCGCAGTTTTTACTTGATATATGTCACCATTGAAATACTGTCAATGAAGATTACCAAAAATGGCGGTCAATTTAAATCGGAATGTCAAATTTGGACATTCTATATTATAGGATTTCGTAACTTTTCTTCAGTTTGAATCGGCACTCGAACAATATATATTAATGATGGTCGTCGGCTATTACTGATTTATGACCTTATATTGCTTCTTCTCCAGAATAGTGACACAATAAAAAAAACATTTTAAGGAGAGTGTTTTTAAATTATTCTATAATTATTCTATATTCTAAACTGTCTCTTTCAGAGATCAAAATAAATACAAAGAGGCGGCCAATCTTCTGAACGACGCGCTAGCAATAAGGGAAAAAACGCTCGGAGAAAATCATCCGGCAGTGGCGGCGACTTTAAACAATTTGGCTGTGTTATATGGAAAACGGGGAAAATATAAGGAAGCCGAACCGTTGTGCAAGAGGGCTCTGGACATAAGAGAAAAGGTGCTCGGCAAAGAACATCCTGACGTAGCTAAACAATTAAATAACCTGGCTTTGCTTTGTCAAAATCAAGTAAGTGCATAATTTTTTTAATATTTAGGTATTATTATTATTCAGATTCAAATGTTCATTATTATAATAATTTAATTTGTCGTAAATGGCATTATTTATAATTTTGGTTGTATGTGGATTCAATTGGATAAATTTATTACCAGTTTACTATCAAAATATGCTGACATAAATGTGTATTTCGAATGTTTCAAAGGTCTTGGTTCCTTTAATCGGTCAATATTGTTGTAAAATCAAGCTTGTAATGAGACATCGTGTTGAAGAGTTGGTCAGAGAGATTTTGGTCGATGTTCAAGTGTGAGATTCGCAGTTTTAGGTAATATGGGGCGTATCCGGAAATTAAGTACCGTTTTGGGAAAAAATTATTGTCACAAGAAAGAGCACATCTTAAACTACTGTTCTACATAGTTTCCACCGTTGTTGAGGCACTTGTCGTAGCGGTCGATCAACTTATCTTGCACTACCTCATAGAACGATGCCTCCAGTGATGGGAACTATTGCTGCACACCAACTTTCACTTCGTCATTATTTTGGAAACATTTTCCATCAAGCTCCCGTTTTAGGTGTAGGAATAAGTGATAGTCCGATGGCACCAGGTTAGGACTGTAAGGCAGGTGGCCGAACTGTTCCCATCCAAACTGCTGAATAAGAGTTTGTAACGAATCTCACAGTCGGCGAGATCGTGAATTGTCTTAGACATTTTAAACTTGCCCTGTAAACAAACAACACAACCCAGAGTAACTAAACTGGTGTCAGTTAAGAGCAGACTAGCTTGCATGCGCGGAACGCCGATCGAAGCGCAGTAGCGGCGGAAATGTGAAACGGTACTTAATTTCCGGATACGCCTCGTATATTGTTGTAATAGTCGCTGTATGAGTTAACTTATTCTAGGTACATGAGCAAGAATTCTTTGGCCAAACATCATATATTGTAATTTTTCTGTATCGTGCAATAAATGGTCGGTACAATGCCAAAACCACGAATGTGCAAAGTTTTCAGTTTTGAGAATGTGATCTTTCAAGTCTCAGGAATTGAAGTAACAGCTAAATTCTTACTTTCTGAAAATATACATCGGTCGTAGAAGGGGGTTGGACTCTTGAGGCATATTTCTGACTTTGGCATTGATAACTTTTGAGGTTTAAACGTCTGGTAAAGTACTTGGGTGAAAAATTTTAAATTTGCACATTCGTGGTTTTGGCATTGTACCGACGAATAAAGAATGACGTTCATTTGACAGATTTTAAAGCTTAACAATATTTTTATTGTTAATTTGAACTACTTTTAAAATATGTTTATTTGGTTGAAAATTTACCACATTATGTTAGTTTTAATTTTTAAAAATAAACATATTGAAAGTCAGAAGGTCATAAAATACATTAGGCGGTCGCCTTTACACAGAGACGTACCTACTCTAGCCATATAAATATAGATATAATTATAAATTTGGTTAAAATGCCTATTTCATAAAATATTTTAATCCGTACCTTGTAATTTTTTAAGGGATACATAATTTTATTGCTTATCTACATCTCCAACAATAGATAATACTGATTTATACCCTTACAATATTACTGTTTCTATTTTAGCATTATTGTCTGTTATTCTATACAAACCTTTTACCAATCTTTAAAAATCATTGATTGGAAGCGACCTTTGTAGGTGCCCCAAACGATTTACAGCCAGTTTCACAATCGGTTAAATTACCTTTACCGCAATTTTAACCATTGTAATAAACCAATTATTAAATGTCGTTTAATTCAAAAATCAGAAATAAACAAAAAAAAACTTCGGTGTCACCGAAAAAGCACCAAAATAAAGGCGGTTAATAGATAATTGGCACAGATTACTACGTGTGCTCGCTATACTTGTTACGCGTCCTCTCTTTATTACCTAGTCTAAGGAGTTAAATATTTACCTTAACGTATGCTATTGTGAAACTGGCTGTTAAAGGTAAGTGTTAATTTCAGGGTAAATACGAGGAGGTCGAAAAGTATTACCAGAGGGCGCTCGAGATCTACGAGAAGCGATTGGGAGCGGACGATCCGAACGTCAGCAAAACGATGAACAATCTGGCTTCTTGCTATTTGAAGCAAGGCAAATACAAGGAAGCCGAAGTTCTTTACAAGCAGATCCTGAACAGGGCGCACGAGCGGGAATTCGGAACGATTGACGGTGAGCCGAGCTAAATGCGGAAGTTACCGAAATTCTTGTCACGTTTTTTTTTTGTCATGACGTTGATTTTAAAAGCAAAATGCTAACACGATGGACTTGTTTGGTGATCGTTAAAATAGAATTTTTAAGAACGTAACCCCTGTTAGGGTTTTTAAATTTAATTTATAACTTAAATATACACGGTGCTACAAAAATAATTAGACCAAAAGTTCCTTAAACCAAAATAATAGTTAGATGAAATTACTTTCGTACAAAGTTTCTTCATTTCAATTAAAAATAGTTTTTTTTTTGTTATAATTTATTTCTAGTAATTGGGTGCTTCAGGTTTCCAACTGAAACAAAATATTTGTATTAGATATCACTTTGATCAAAATAAGACTTTTCCCTCCGTCAGTTTTGGGAGTTTCAAAAATGGTACAAAATGTCTTTGTTTCGACGATCTTTGGAATTAAAAACTTGTTTGGTAAAATATTAGTCTTTTGTATTTCCAATCCGATGAAAGGAATATTTGTAAAATTGTAGAGAAAAAAATGTGGCATTTTATATAATCTGATAAATTTTAAAAAATAATTATTTATGTTGTCGCTAACTTAAGACGTTGAATTCGGTGTGATATTTAACTGAACTAGTTTCTAGTCTCTAAACAAATGATGCAGAGTCGACGTGTCAAGTGACAATAGTCAGCCATCATGTGTGCGTTCCAGTATCCTTGATACCGTTCCTCCATCGTACGAAGGTCCTGGTGGAATCGCTCGCCCTGTTTTTCACTTAGATCCCCAAGATTAGCAAAATAATCTAGGTGGTTGTGAAGAAAGTGCAACTTGATGCTCATGTTACATCCAAGGGTTTAAAAGTGACTCATTAGTTGTTCAACATGTTGAGAATAGTTAAAACTATTTCCTAATTTTGAACAAGCTAAACAAACTCATTGCATGCGTTCGAAAATGCCCGCTTTTATCTTTTCTACGCTCAGTTTCAGGAATTTTTTTGATAGAAATAGAAAACAATTTCCAGTTTTGTTTTCAATAAATTCCAAAACCTACTCATGTTAGGTTGGAAGTGGCAACAAGGCTTACACCGGCATGGATATGTACGTTGTTTATTATAAGCGCACAGCGTCTTACACATTAATTGATTGATAAAAAAAGTTGTATCTGCGAAAAATTATCTTTATTCCCTCTCTTACTTCTCACCTTTCGTCTCTCCGCCGCGTCCCTACAAATAGAGTGTATTGATTGTCGAATTAATCTTGGAATCGTAAATATTATATTTTATCAATCAATGAATGGTTATATCTGCCATCTCTGGTTCCCGCTCTTCGTCTCACCCGTCATAAATAAATTTTTCTCTGCTGTTACCATTAAGAATTTTGTTAAAATGCTGTTTCCTTCCTTTCTTTTTCCTTCTTATGCCTGTATACAAAGCTCTCACTTTGGAATTATTATGCAGTGATGATTTTTAAATTTTTTTTACTAAGAGATGTTTATTTAAAGTCTTATTTTGATCAAATATTATCTGGTACAATTTTGAATATGTTATTAACTTAATTTTTTATAAATGATGCTATAAGGTTTATAAGAACAAAAATCTAAATATCCTTGTTTTTTAAACTTGATATATATATTTTTTAATTTGTAAATTTTAAGATATTATCTTTTTTTAAAGTTTTCAAATAAGCGATTATTGAAATTTAGTATTTTCGAATTTCAGCCATTATAAGTCAATTTTAAGCGGGTATATAGTTAATATAAGAGATTTCATTTAAAAATATTAAACAATTACATTAGACATTCATCACAGTCGATCTGTTCGTTTTCTTTTTACTGAAACACAATTAAAGTTTTAGGCAATAAGCAATAGGTTTTGTGTTTCATGAAATGAAAGTTAACGATTGTGTTTTAAGTTATTGGTGTTCACAATATGGAATAAATACCTTATCATCTATTATTTAATTTTTGAAATAAAAATGCTATATTTAGATAAATTTAAGAACGATGTAGGTGTTAAAAACATTCATAATTATGTCAAATTTAACTTTTTATAAGCCAATATGCTGCCATATTATTGATAAATATTATGTTCAATTATTTTATTTCTGGTTCGAATAATATTTATTACTGAAAGAATAAAATTAATTGTGTTTCAGCTCTTGTTCCTTAGTTATTTGAAAATAGATTGGAGATTTTCCAATGTAATTTTTTAATAATTTGCATACGTATTATTAATTATTTTACAGTACTAATTATTCTTGATAGTTTCGGCCTTTACTTGATGAAAATCTATATTATTAATATGAGAAAAACCAAATATGGTAGATTTCACAAACAAAAATAATGTTTAGAAGTACAACAACTTCTTCAAATGTGACTAATTTACATTGTTTTTTTTTTAAGCGTTTGTGATTATCTACCATGTTTGATTTTTCTCATTTTGGTACTAATTATATTATTACATTCCTTTCTAATTTACGAAAAATCGAAATTAGTCCGTCGAACGGGAATTTTAAATGTTATACCTGTGATAAGTATTTCTGGTAGCTTTTTTTTAAGGCTATAATGTAGCATAGTTTAAATGCATGCAAGAATGGGATAGGAAGCAATTACACACTATCGACTACTTAAAATCGGTGATAGCTATAGATGAATGTTTTTATGTTATACATAAGTATCAATGCATTAAATGTTTGTAAAAGTTTAGAGTGTGTCTTTATTTTATCGATAACCTATAGTTTCATGCTATGTAAAGGGCTTGCAAGTTTTTGTGTGTATTAATTTTAGTTGTTTTTTCTTTTTCATTTACTAGTATTGGAAATTGTAGGGTTGTAGAAGAAGGGCACGTTTTAAAATGTAAAATACCCTTTGATTAGAATTTAACGAAATTTTATTTTGTAGAACTTGTCGATCAAATATCTCCGGTGCGCCAGAGCTTTAAGTTTAACAGTTTTTGATTTACAGGGTGTCCAAAATCACTATTTCATAATTTCAAAATATAAAATACATGTTTTGTCTATATTATCGAAACCTTTTTATCGTAGAACTACAACTCTCTCTTTGCTTTCATAATGTTTTATATACCACTTATATATCGTCGGGTTACTGCCAAAACAAAATAAGTTACATTTTTATAGTTTTGAGTTATTAATGTTTAAAACTTGTAAGGAAAATCAGGTATAAAAGAAAAACTCCGTTTTTACTTAGGAACTGAATTTTAATACAATTTGATATTTAACAGTAAAAACATAAAAACATAAACCTACCAAAGTATTTAGCAGAAAAAACACTTTTTTTGTGCACTTATTTTCTTTTGGATGCATAAGTACCTGTTTTTGTTTCATTTATCCTGCTCTCGTAAAGAAAGTTCTTCTATATCAGAATATTCAGCTGCTGGCTTTGGAATTAAATCTTTTACCTCTTTAGAGGTAGGCAAGGATTTGTAATATTGATGGTATTCTTCAGGGATAACAATTTTTACACAATTTTAGTAGGTTTTGTTTTTTCTCAACCGTAATGGGCCTACATCTTTTGTACGATTTTGTGATTTTAATTTTATTTGCATTTAAAGGACGACCTTTACCAAAAAACATGTATTTCCTTATACCAAAAGTAAAATTAAAATAATGTAACGAAAGTCTAATTTATTTATAGTTTATTTATTTAAAGCACACTATTTACAATTTATTTCAGACGTACTAATTAATTTATATAATACTTAGACACTAACTAACAATTCTAATTTATTTATTACACTTTAACTTTTCATTCCAATATTCTATCCTAACTAAACTGTGCTCCGATGAGCCGCCTATTTATATTAAGTCCAACTCTGCTACTAGAAGACTCCAGGGGCTCCCGAAAATACCACCTCTGACTCAACGGCACTCTCTACCCGTTTTAGCCGTTTCTGATGCGCCAGCGGCATTCCTGAACGTTTCGCCGCCTCGAGCACGAGTCGGTTGCCATCTGAAGGTCGCGCGTACACAGGGTAGGCTTTAGGAATTTCATGACAAAAATTTTTAAACCTAACATTAATGCATTTGTCTTGTTTTAGCTGCCAATATAATTCTTGTAATGCACTTAGTCTTTTATGTGCACATGCGTATCAATGTATACCGCGTTTAATACAATTATCTGCTAGACATCTCAAAAATGAAAAAAAAGTACTTATCTTGCTTTGGCAGTAACTCGACGTAATAGGGATGTATGTTTGTGAACAAAAAAAAAAAAAAAAATGTATGGGGGAATTGTTTTGATATTTTGGTGAAAGGAAGCAAACTTTATTTGCATTTCAATTATTATTATTATTAAGTTAGATCCAGTAGACGTCTGATGTACAGAATTTCTTTAACATTATTATTCTTTCTAGTTCAGTTTCTGATCAGCCAATTGAAATACCCTTGTTAAAATCAACTTTAGTTCAAGTAGAAAAGTTTATATAAATATATATCCTAAAAAGTTTGGTTTTTAAGGTATAGGGTGTTTAAGTTTTAATATCTCAAAGCTCCTTTTGTCGATTTTGTTGAAATTTGGCAGTGTTCTTCATTGTGACGCTAAGTTAACACTAATTAGAAGATAATTATGAGCTCCAGAGGCGTCACGGGGGACAGTCTTATAAATAATATTGACAAAAATATTACGCCACTGACTTTTTTAACATTTTATATATTTTTTCGATTAATCAACTAATAATACAACTTTTTTATTAATTGATATTTTTTTGTAACTTACTCCGTTTTTGAGGCAAAAAATAGAATAGAATAAAAATAGATTTTTATTTATAAGGGCACCCAAAATCATTAGCTTATGTTACACCTATCGAGACGGTAGAATAACTAAGGAATAGAATTGTTGACGGATGTGAAACTATACGTAACAATCATGGAATTTTCAAAAGAGCTTGTAACTCTATGAGAAGAAGAGCAGAAGCCTGTGAGTTGGTCATTTTCAATATTATTTGTTGTGAATATTCTGTTAAATTGTTATTATTTTTGATTTGTTACTTTA